GTTTCACAAGCATAGAGCAAAACTGCTCTCACCGACGCGTTGTAGATCCGACCTTTTACAGCCAGACTAACATCACGAAGGCGCCAAAGGTGGCCCAGATTGGCATAAGCCGCTCTGGCTTTCACTATACGTGCATTGATCTCATCACTCACACCCCCACCAGCACTTATGCAGCTACCCAGATACACGAACTTCTCGACTACGTCTATCTGCTCACCGTCCAGGGTGAGTACAGGATTAGAATCCTGCCAGTCTTGTAGAAGTACTTTGCACTTCGAAGGTGCAAAGCACATACCATACCTACGGACACTGATTGCCAACTGATTAAGTGCGGATTGCATGCCTTGGGCATTATCGCACAGTAAGACAATATCGTCCGCATACTCAAGGTCGAGAAGTCTTTCTCCAGGCAACAGATCCACACCACCATTACTTACATTCATCAGAGCTGTTTCCAGAATGTCATCGATGGCAAAGTTGAAGAGGAATGGTGAGATTGGGCAACCCTGCCTAACCCCACTGCTCGAATGGAACAATGGAGAGAGGTGGTTGTATGCCCTCACTCTGCCTGAGGTGTTTTTATATAGGGCTTTTAGGATGTTAATAAACTTCTCAGGCACACCCTTCTTCAATAGACAATCCCAGAGAACAGTCCTGTCCAACGAATCGAAGGCAGCCCTGATGTCAAGAAACACTACGATTGTTGGCCTTTGATAAGTATGGCGGTGTTCTAACATTTGGCGGAGGGTGAAGATATGATCAATACATCCTCGACCAGAACGAAACCCAGCCTGCTCCTCGCGAGTCAATCTTTCTCGGGTTTTGAACAACCTACGAAGTATGACGGAAGCCAATAGCTTGGACGCAATCGGAAGTAGACTTATCCCCCGATAGTTGTTACAGGAACGACGTGAACCCTTTTTAAAGATAGGGACAACTATCGACTCATTCCATGACGTTGGTACACTCTCTAGTTCCCAAACCTTTGTAAACAACGTCGTCAATTCCTTAGTCAAAAAGTCACCACCATCTTTAAAAAGAGCCGGAGGTAAGTCATCTGGGCCAGGTGATTTGTAACGCTTCAAGAGTTGGAGTTCCTTGCGGACTTCCTCCTCATTTGGTGGATCAGTCGTCACCGGCCATGGAGGGTAGTGTTATATCCGATGAAGATTAAATTACAGGTAACTTCCAAAGACTATACATGGACTAATATTCTATAAATATTCTTATTGTATAACTACTCAATAATTACACTATGCATATTTATATTCCTCTTATTATAAGCTTTATTTAGACCTATAATTTATTATTGTACGATTTACGGTTCTTAAGTTATGTTCAGTTTATTAACTACTGCCTCCTACATTCACAGCCACTTTTGGCTTATTTGTGTACAAATATTATTTCCTATTTTATGGTACGTTGTGGTCTGTCTGGTTGATATATAAACCAGGTATGTCTGAAATAAATGATCTGCTCTGATCTGGTCTGATCTGCTTTGATTCGGAAGCTGGTATTGTGTTCTGGACTCAAGTGGAAGGGCTCGGAGGACATAGGACCAATAAGGACGCTAAACTGCCCACACCGGTTGAACGTCATTGGTTGGCCTAGTGTGAAGATTCGTATAAGTCGTATTCCGATTGGTAGATAAGTCGTGTGATAGAAAAGTCAGACACTTCAAGGTCATAACAGGCAGGACAGTCTGACCGATGTTGCCGGAGCAGCAGGCCAGTTGAACTGCCCTTCGAAAAATTCTGCCCATCGTCCAAGACGTCGATGGATGTTAGTGATTGGCATCCCATCATCCTCGCAGATTGTTTCACTCACACTAGACTTCTTGCTACCAGTGTCTCGGATGAGCTGGAAGAGCTTCCGGTAATTACCAGATGCAGCTGCTGCTTCCAACTCATTAGCACGCTCCGACCACCAGGCTTCTCGGTCCTTACGCAAGCTTTTCCCGATTTCACCACGTAACAACCTTCGTTTGTGGTCAAACTCACGGTCACCCGGAGTAGACCGACGGGCTTCAATGAGTTGTAAGGAACCAGAAGAAACCCAGTGCTTAAAAGCGGGACGTTTCGCGAACCCACAACTGACTGTTCCCGCCATTTTCATGGCGTCATGCAATTGCAACCAATGCTCATCTATACTTTTCGGTGGAGTGGTAGCTAGCCTAGAGGCTAGCTCGGTTCGATACTTACTTGCAGCAGAAGTTGCAACCAGCTTGCTAACATCAATCTTTTGGTGGTGGTCACTTCGTTGTCCACTGAAAAGTAAGGTAAGACTGGCGCAGACCAAGGCATGGTCAGAGTCCAGATAGGTACTCCAAAAGGAGCGGCAGTCTTGTACACAACCACGCCAGCGGTAGCTGATCGCGATGTGATCAATCTGAGTCCAGATTTGAGATGCAGAGGGAGGACGCCAGGTGGCACATCGGCGAAGATAGTTCAGTAATAACAGTCATTGAATTCATAACCTGGTGCCGTTCTTAGTCTGCTCGTCCTCTAGTTGTTTTCTTTGTTTTTTTTTTTTTTTAAAAAAAACTTATTCCTATTCTTGCCAACATTGCACGTTGATGTAATGCATACATTTATGAAAGCTTCATAATTAAACTTTCTATTTTCTAAATAAAATATACATCATATTCCCAAATCTACTCATCAATTCTGGGATGTGATATGTTGAATTCTTCATTTTCTCATTTCTATTATACCTTCGATATTCTTGTTTATTCAAATTTTGTGAATTTAATATGTCAGTAATTACGTACAGTGATTACTATTTGTATTAGTTAAATGTCCGACACTTTCAACGCGTTGGTGAACACGGAGAGTCCACCTAGGGGGGTGGAAAACCCTGATTCCCAACCAGTTGTGCACATGGGCTCCAGGATCCTAAGGGAACAAATAGAGTATGAACTAATCGTTGGACTGCATCTCCTTACGTTTCTCCACTGCCTTGTGGATCAGACCTTTAGGTCGAATGCTTAGGGTGTGACTCCCAAAAAAAACCCACTTGCTTCGGTTTGGGCACCCGGACAGTACCCCAGCTTTCACACAAATCGAATGATTTATGTGACTCATTATCTATTCGGTACCTTCTTGTACCACTGTTTATGTGTTTAAATAATAAACTTCATTTTCCATATTGCTATATACCTTCAATATTCTTGTTTATTTAATTTTTGTGAATTTAATATGTCAATAATTATGTACAGTGATTACTATTAGTATTAGTTAAATGTTCAAGTTTTGTTTTAAATACAAACATGGTTCGCGCGATTTCTATCTCTCTCTCTCTCTCTCACACACACACAAATTATACTTTATTCAATAAGTCTTGTTAAAAGTAAACAATTTCCAATTGATTGATGGAATAATATGAAAAAAGGAAAGGATTGGTTTACATGTAACTGTGTATGTATGTGTGTGTGTTTACATTTATAATGATATTGGTGAACTGTAACGAATTACATTAAGTAATGCCTGTTAATTCATTCAATTAACCTGTCCATAAAATAATTTTTCAGGTGTCATAAATTTACATTGACCCCTATTAGGTAATTGAAGGTTGTCAGTAAGACACTCATGTATGACCTACTTTTTGTACTATTTGACCTGTAATCCCGAAAGGGCTAATACTTCCTAATGGATTCAAACCCTATTTATCCAACTTCACAGTTCAAGTTGTTACCATTGTCCTATTCGTCCTACCAGCAGATGATGTCGTGTCATTTAGATTAGTGGCCACATGGCATCTTGATCGATAGAAAGAGTAGAGAAAAATAACTATAATCACTACTCAATAACTAATCAATTATATGTTAATCCTGTTTCCTGCTACTGTGTGCATCATAAGGAAATCCTCTTGAAGGAGTAACTATAAAAAAGGGTGGACAAAATAAAAGAATCATAATGTATGAAATAATATGATACATTTAGAAATTTAGGAAGAGATTAGAAATTAATGCACCTATTTCACGACAATAGATTTTGATCAATGACATATAACATTATTAAACATTGTTTACAATACTATCTCATTGAATTACACTAGTATACGTTAGTTGGTTGATATAAGTTAAATCAACAGTTATTGACTTTATGGAGTAGTAATAAAGCATATTAATCAGACTGTTTCTGGACTTTTTTCCAATCTATTTTTATACTACTGTTGAGGACAATTCCTCTCGGTCAACTGAGTATTTTAAGCAGGTCAAATCTCCTAGTAGCATTATGAATTTACTTGAAAGCCAGAACACTAGTTGTGGGGAGAGTTTATTCTCAATAATTAGTAAAATCCACAAGCGTACAGAAAGCAAGCACACAGGGAAGAGTGTGTGTGTGTTCAGTGTTAATCGACTGTGGGTAAGTTATTGATTACCTGTGTTTACAACCAACTGGAGGATAGATAAAGATTGGGGTGCAGACATTGATTTAATTAGACTCACACATACATTTAGATGTTGGGTTAATTGTCGAAATTACAGCAGTTAGGTAATAAAAAATTCCTACGCTTGTTTAGATAACCTCGTTATCTGGCACACGTAGTACATACATTCTAACTATCATAGTTTTATACGAATATTCAGGTGAGTCTATGGACGATCCAATCAGGTCTAATATAGCGAGTCTCGGATTGTAGCACGAAATTCATTCATCTATATGATTAAATAGCATTTTAGCATTATAACTGATGTTGATTCGTGATGAAAAGACAAACTCTAACTCTAGATTCCTGTACCAATTTTTCACCGTAATATGTAACTTTTTAGATCGTAGCAAATAAGATTTTCTCAATGTCACTTTGGTGTTCATCGAAAGGTCGTGCATAAATTATAGTCTCATCAATATTTAACCTGCCTATAATCAATATTATCTCACTTTATTATCCCATCATTATGTATACATTGCTGCGTTTTGTTAATTTCTGTACAGGTTAGTATTATATAACCAATAGTTTTATTTTCATCGGTTTATCTTCCCATTATATTTCTGTAGTTGCACATCACATGAGTGAATTGGTCAGTAATCCAAGTGAACGTGAACGTATTTTACCATTAGTAAGTTGTTGGTTTTCAAACACATAAATAGTTATCATAGTTTCATTTTTATTGTGTATCGTCAAAAAGAAAAGATCAGAAAATCACCTGCTTCGGTTTGGGCACTCGGGCAGTATCACAGCCTTCACACATATCAAATGAGATTTGTGTGGCGCATATATATTTGGTGTCTCCTTGTACCAATATCTATGTGTTAAAATAAAATAAAAACATGTAGATTTATTCTCTAGTTGTACGCTATTCATTCATATTTCAAAATTTATACAGTAATATGCCTCAAATACCAGACTATACTCCAACAACTTATAAAACATCACAATATATACACAACTCAGTCATAAATATTACAACAACCAAGCAGTGAGGAGCTAAATAATTGATAATTAATCTAGAATAGTAAGACATATAACAATAGTTTGTAAGTCAAATGAACGCTTACAAGTAAGAGAATATGTAAAACATGATAATACAAGGATCTAATGATAATATGATAAATATCTAGACAATAACTTTCATGACTCTCTCAAATTTTCTTCTATATACCTTAATTACATGTATATTGCTACATGTTTTGAACTGTCGATTAGTTAAATTTGTGTTCATGACTCTTAGATAATTAATACCAGAAGGAATTTTGTGGATATTATAGTAATTTCAATGGTTGAGATCATGAGTCAGTTGAAGCTAAACCACAATGGAAAACCTGGAAGCAATAGACGGCCGTTTCGTCCGACCGAAGCTGCTACCTTGACGCGGTGGTCGGGCTTGCCTATCGTGATGACCCAACCGAGCTATATTGGCTGGAACATATGTTCCTGTAGGTTCTACCATGCCAGGCAGGTCGATTGGTGAACGGTAAGACTAAAAGCAGCAACTCAAGGTCTGAGGGCGAAGTCGTACTGCTGACTGTAGAGGGGTGTGACAGCAGTAAGGTGTTTCCCTCGGACAACCAGCATGACAGCGATGCTGCCTTCCCACAAGGAGGGGTGGGGTTAGAAAAGGTCGACCCTAAAAATGTCACACCTCACCTTACCTCACGGATTTCCGTCTCCGGCGGTAAGGCCCTTTGAAGAACGGAGCTAACACGTTAAAAACCTTCCACAAAAAGGCCGTGCGCGACCGGCCTCAAGCAGTTGTCCCTTGGGCTCTGCGGTCACGCTCCCAGGTCGTCAAGACCAACACTAATCCAATTTCCTTTTCAGGTTCCTCAAGAAATACCCTTCCACGGTGTGGGCAGCCGGGAAGTGACATCAGCCCTCATACCCGTAACAGCACACGAGACCAAGTTGGTCACATTCAAATCCTTCCTACACCTCCTAATACCTCTCTTATCTCCATGACTAACCCTCCTCACGTTCCTTTATCACCTCGCACCGCTAGGGCAAACGATTCGAGTACGTGGAACGCTATTCCTGGTCTCCTGAAACCACGCTCTAAACTACACGTAGGAGCTTTTAACGTACGAACACTGTGCCAAATAGGACAGCAGGCTTCCTTAGCTAGAACTTTAGAATCTCGCGCCATCGATGTGTGCTGCGTCTCCGAAACGCGCATACAGGATCCGAGTAGCGTCATTCATTTGACCTCACCATGCCAAAATAAAGAACCGACTCGATTTACGCTTCGTGTATCTGGAAGCCCTGATTCTGCTTCCCGTGGCCTCGCCGGCGTAGGTATAGCATTGAGTCCTAGGGCAGAACTAGCTCTCTTAGAGTGGATCCCAGTAGACAGTCGTTTGTGCGCTGTCCGACTGAACGGAACAGTAAGAATCCGGAAAGATAGGGACACTCGTCGTTGCCTCTTCGTCGTCTCTGCCTATTCTCCCACTGACTGCAGCTCAGATGATGTAAAAGATGAGTTTTACAGAAAGCTTTCCGACCTTCTCCGAAAAGCTAGGCGCTCGGATGTAGTAATAGTGGCCGGTGACTTTAATGCTCAAGTAGGTAAACTAAGCGATAGGAAAGACACCTAGGTGGATCTTATGGTGTCGTGGCTCAAAGAACAGATAATGGCGACCGTCTGTTGCAGCTATGCTCAGATAACCGCCTGTTCCTTGCAAATACTAACTTTAAGCATAAGGAAAAACATCTTTTAACATGGCGACCCCCTAATTCGTCCCAACGTTGGACCCAAATAGATCACATCGCTATCAGCCACCGATGGAGGGGCTCGATAGAAGACTGTCGCTCATTCTGGAGCACATGCCTAGATTCAGATCATGCTCTAGTGCGAGCGCGTATTTGCTTGCGTCTTACTGGACGTAGGAAAGACGCTGCAAGGAAACCTCTTAGGGCCTACTTAATGATAGTCAAGCTAAGAGTATATTTCAGGAACAACTAGGAAAACAGTTAGGCAGCCATGTATGTGATGCCCACCCCGATGCAGCATGGAATGATATCCGAAAAGCTGTGGAAACAGCAGTGATATCTGCCCGTAAGGTTAGGGAGCAACACTGGATCTCAGCAGCATCTATCTCACTGATAGATGCTCGGAAACTCATTCCACCTGGCTCTGAACATAATGAAGAGCGGAGTCAGCTTAAGCGCAAGCTGACAAGAAGTCTACGCAATGATCGCGAACAGTGGTGGGTAGCGAAAGCAAGAGAGATGGAAAAGGCAGCGGCAATAGGTAATAGCAGACAATTGTTCAGACTCGTTAAGGAAACCGGAATTAGGAAACCGACCGTTAGCGAAACAATCTCAGAGAAAGATGGACATATTATTCATTCTCAATCCAGGAGATTGGATCGATGGGCAGAACACTTTAGGGATCAGTTCAACTGGCCTTCAGCCACACTTCGGTTTCCCACGATCTCCAGTCAACCTGAATGGCAAGTTAATGTAGGTCCTCCGTCCCTTTACGAAGTTGAAAAAGCCATAGGAAATCTGAAACGAGGGAGAGCAGCAGGCCCTGACAGGTTTACTCCTGAGATTTTTAAGGATGGTGGTCCAGTATTAGCAATGAGATTAACTGAGGTCTTAGGTAGAATTTGGGAACTGGACGTAATCCCATCTGACTGGTCTCAATCACTGATTGTGCCAGTCTATAAGAAAGGACAAAAGTCCTCTTGTGACAATCACAGAGGAATCAGTTTGACTAATATAGTGTCTAAAATATTAGCTTCAATAATACTTCGACGCCTAACAAAGCTCGTGAAGAGCAGATTAGAGAAAACCAGGCCGGTTTTCGACCTGGACGTGGTTGTATAGATCAGATATTCACACTACGTCAGGTTCTAGAACACAGACACACATTCAGACGCCCCACAATGGTAGTATTTCTCGACCTTAAGGCGGCATTCGACTCTGTTGATCGTGAGGTTCTATGGCAGTGTTTGTCACTGAAAGGAGTACCAAAGAAGTACATTAACCTTATAAAGGCTCTCTACTCGAACACAACTGGTCGAGTGAGAGCTTATGGCGAACTGTCATCAGAATTGATTACCTCAAGTGGTGTTCGTCAGGGCTGTCCACTCTCCCCATTCTTGTTCAACTTTGTCTTGACGTACTTTTAGAGATAACACTCTCCTCATCTAAATTTCCAGGGGTTGAACTTCTACCGGGAGGTTCACTTGTTGACTTAGAATATGCTGATGACATAGTTTTATTTGGTGAAGACGCTGACAAAATGCAGAGTCTTCTGACCACTCTAAGCAACAATGCAAGCATGTTCGGGATGCGATTCTCTCCCTCGAAATGCAAAATGTTGCTTCAGGATTGGGTTACATCGACACCCGAACTAGTGATAGGGAGTGAAGTAGTTGAGTGTGTCGACCGCTTCACTTATCTTGGAAGTCTCATCAGCCCTTGTGGTTTAGTGTGTGACGAAATCTCAGCACGGATACAGAAGGCTCGACTAGCTTTTGCCAACTTGCGTCATTTATGGCGTAGGCGAGATATCCGTCTATCAACCAAAGGAAGGGTTTACTGCGCAGCAGTTCGTTCCGTCCTACTTTATGGCAGTGAAACATGGCCGGTAAGAGTAGAGGATATTCGTAGGTTACTAGTATTTGATCATAGGTGTCTTCGAAATATTGCTCGTATATCATGGGACCATCGAGTAAGTAACAGTTGTTAGGAAACGGGTACTAGGTAAGGATGGCAAATCAATTGATGAAGTAGTGAAACTTCATCAGTTGAGATGGCTGGGACACGTGTTACGTATGCCCAACGACCGACTGCCTCGACGTGCTATGTTCAGTGGTATAGGAGTAGGTTGGAAGAAAGCTAGGGGCGGCCAAACCAAAACATGGCACAAGTCCATGAAGTCACTGACAAGTGGACTGAGTCATGTTGGTAGGTGTAGACTACCTGGTTGGGGACCGCGAGATGATAGCAACCGATGGTTAGAGACCCTGAATGACATGGCTCAAAATCGTTTGCAATGGCGCAGGTGCATCCACTCTCTGTGTTCTCCCAAATTCTAATCTTCTGAATTCTTCATGTCCCTTTTTTCCTCTTTCCAAATTTATTTCACTGGATTATACTCTTTAAATAACATCTCCAAACCCTAATCTTCCCGATTACTGCTTATACTCTTATTACCTCTACCACTACGGGATTTGAATCGACAACTGCATCTCTGTGCTAATGTGGTGTGGCAACTCGAACTGATGTACGTACGTACGAAGTTCTACGTTGTTACTGACTGACTGACTGATTGTAGGACTCCTCAGCAGTGCGCATCCGCGGTCTTGTCCCCTGCGAGATTCGAACCCAGGAATTATCAGTCTCGCGCGCGAGCGCTTAGATAATTATCAGTATATTGTATATGAGGGTCGTTTTCCTTAGTACTAGATAATTAGATGAGTTGGACTTAGGACTAGATCAATATAATATGATATCTGTTCACCCATGAATATTCGAAGACCAATTAAGAGCCAGATATAAGCTACAGTAATAATACTTTATCACACAATACAAGACGGTCAGTGAGGTGAAAATGAAATCGGTTTTACATATAAGTTAATTTCTTATTATTCTATGTGACCAGATATATCTTTCTTTACTCATCAGCTAGTCACAACTTACTTTAACCGACCTATCAAGTACTCACAATCTTGAAGGCATTAATATTTCCTGTATTGTTAAAATCCGTATCACCTATCCTCACAATCTGTGATCTTACCTCTAAGCTTTTTGAACCGCAATTGATTTGTAGTAGGACTGAGATGTTATCTACCAAATATCTACAATGATCTAGTACAAACATAATGTTTAGCCACTTAGATTAGTAGCCACATTGCAACTTGATGATTAAAATTCGATCAGCACCAAAAAGGATGATAGGAAAACAACATTAGTCCTTATTCAGTTATAAATCAACCGAGCTTTTAGCAATATGACTCATTTAATAACTACAAGTTTTTGTTATAATGAGTAATGTCCGAAATCTGTTACTGAATACACAACGTGCTACGCGCTAACCCTTCCAACTCACTAGTTGAGCGCGAATACAAGAATGGACGAGAGAGTATTTTGGGGTATGGAATAAAATACATAAATACTCATATATATATATATATATATATATATATATATATATATATATATATATATATATATATATATATATATATATATATATATGAGTATTTATCAATTCATTTCTTAGCCAATGATATGCACTTGTCCTTCAAGTTACTTCTAATTGACGTTCTCATTTATCTACCTGTGATTCGTCTACCGTATAAGTTTGTATAGTTCATCTTAAGCCACACGTTTTGTAAATTTGCGGCTAAATATATTACTTATATGTAGCTTTCAAAATCCTTATTATTTGTAGACTATCATCGAGAGGCTAACTAGTTTGAAATTGCTAACAAGATATATTTCCACTCTTAATGGAATTAATGCTCATGATGACAAGATTTGAGCCTACATTACCGAGTACCATTGTTACATACATTACTCGTAAAGTATTGTGAGTAGTTGATTCACATAAAATGAAACTTTTTTGTTATGGATTTAACTGTTAATTTAAGGTATCATTATAATGTAGTAAATAGTATTTAATATCAGATGGATTTTGTGGATATTATAGTAGTGGTTAAGTGCTCACGCGTGAAACCAGTAGGTCCTGGGTTCGAATCTCGCAGGGGGCGAGGTCGTGGATTCGCACTGCTGAGGTGTCCCACAATAGGACGAAACGGCCGTCCAGTGCTTCCAGGTTTTCCATGGCGGTCCAACTTCAACTGATTCATTATCTTAACCAGTTAAATAGTATTTACTCAATATAGATAAATAGAGATGTACTTATTTCTTATTGACTTATAAAATTCCAGACAATATGTATCACTTACAATCTACTTCAAAGTGAATTTCCAAAAAGCAAACAAACAAACGAGAATGAAGTTTCGTTTTTTTTTTTCAAAAAAAAATTTGTATAAAAAATAGAGATTACTTGCTTAAACAATTCAGTAATAAATACACTTATTAGTATCAATATTTATATTATATATCATACTACATATATATAAATATAGCTGTAATAATATATCCATTTCATTGATTGATCACACTGATTAGTAACCAAGTTCTAATCAGGTTTAGTTTTCAAAGAATTCTATCGATCAAGTTTCTATAATGATCATTAATTTAAGAGATTATATACCATGCATACAATGCTTTGATATTAGATGATTATCAGAGGAAAAAAAACAAATAGCTGTAGTTGGTTTTCGTGATATTTTCTAGTTGTCAAGATGATGTATGTGTAATTTTTTAGAGAACTTTGAAAGAAGGCAAATCTACGTCATTCAGCTTTTTAGTTTGAGACGCTTTATGGTAAGATACTCGATAATTAGTGTGTGTAAAAATAGCACGGATTCGAAAAGCTCGTTTGGCTTTTGCCAACTTACGTCACCTTTGGCGAAGGCGAGATATCCGTCTATCAATAAAAGGACAAGTATACTACTCGGCAGTCCGTTCTGTTTTACTTTACGGCAGTGAAACATGGCCATTAAGAGTAGAAGACACCCGTAAGCTACTAGTATTTGACCATAGATTTCTTAGAAATATTGCTGGCATCTGCTGCGATCACCGGGTAAGTAATGGTGAGGTTAGACGCAGGGTATTAGGGAACGATGATAAATCAGTTGATGAGGTTGTTAATCTTCATCGACTGAGATGGTTGGGCCACGTGTTACGTATGCCTGAACACCGATTACCACGTCGTGCAATGCTAACGGGTGTTAGAGATGGTTGGAAAAGAATTAGGGGCGGCCAAACCAAAACGTGGCATCAGTGCTTGAAGACACTAATCTCTAGTCTGAGCCATGTTAGTAAGTGCAGATTGCTTGGTTGGGGTCCGCGTGACTATCGTAACCGATGGTTGGAGACTCTTGGTGACACGGCTCAGAATCGATCACAATGGCGCAGGTGTATACACTCTCTGTCTTCCCTTAAACTAAGAGATTAAAATCGCTTCATATCTTTCTACTAACTAGTTCTTTCTTCCTGTACTGTATCCTCATATGCAATCTTTCTCTTATATATTACCACTTTTGACATAACCACTGCTATGAATCCGGTGTTCATCTTGCTGTGCTAATGCGGTATGGCAACCTGGACCGATGCATATATGTGTCTGGTCCTACGTTGTAGCTGACTGACTGACTGAGTGTGTAAATATATCAGTCGTAGATGAATACCATCTACCAGCACAACAATCAATTAAACCGATGTTAGATCTTAGATTTTCCACTCTTAACACATTGTCTAACCTCTCTCTTATTGTGGATGTCGAGGTAGTTGAACTTACTAAACCCATGTTTCAACTATGTCACTTAATGATGATCCATAAACTCAGTATCTAAATTCCCACCTTACTCAAATACCGTTACTTATTACATTGATTCTTGTGTGCACCAGCAATACTTCAAAGATTGGTAGGGTTTTTTCGAAATCGTTAATTGTAATAGAACAAATTCATATACATATATGACATGACCTTTTCGATTGACAAATTTACATCTCATCCATATCATCGTTTAACATAATGTAAGTTGAACGAACTTTATGAACTAACGTTAAAGTTAATTCAGTGATCATGTTCTTTACTTATTATTTTATTGATTTTAGAATTCTCAACCAGCTGCTGGTCAAGTTCCAATTGAATCCGAATTACATGGTTATGCAAAAGTACTTATTCGAGTAATTAGTACACCCACAACAACATGAAAACTATTATTATTACACAGAATAATGATGATTACTAAACAATCGGCATTTTACAAGTTTATTCATAGAAATGATCTGTCTGTTTATGTATTCCTTTTCCAAATGATGAATATCTCCCATACTACTACTACTACTACTAATAGTACAAAAAACTGTTCTGTTACTCGCTATATTATTTCGTGTGTGTGTGTGTGTTCCACACTACACACTAATAAAAAGATTTCAGAGAAATAAAAAGCCATGTTTTCTTTTGTTACAGTCCTTCTCATTCTTTTGTTTCCAATTCACTTCCTAAACATCGCTCTTTACCCTTCTCTCTTACTACTCATAATAATAATAATAATAATCATTATTATTATTATTATTATTATTATCATTACTCAATCACTGGCATTATTTCAGTTTGATTGTTAATTATATAAGTAAATATGCTTAGTGGAAATTAGATACGATTATGTATGCATATTGACGGATAACTCAACGGACTGCTTTAAATTCTATGGTGTATATTATATTAAAATGTATGTGTTTGTTGTTTATGCTTGTCTTAACAAGTGTGTCTTCCTTCTTATAAACAAATAATGATATGTATGTTCAGTATAGAAATACATAATTTTTTTGAGGGGGGGGGAAGAAGGGAACATCAATTGTATACTAGACAGTATGAGATATTATTTTTTTATATCCATAATTTAATTTGTGTTTATTTGATTACTATTGTTACCTTAATTCTCCTTTTTAAAACTGACTACATTATGAATCTACTATTAAATTGTTGATATGCAGTTTATGTTCTCTGTCAATTTTTCCATAAATTTAATGAACAATCAATCATGATCAGATATTCTGTTGTTCTCTTTTCTCTTCATCTCGCATATATATATATATATATCACAATGAAACTTCTACTGTGTAATTGCTGTAATGATCATATAATCTTTCCGAAAGTCGAATGTTAGGAAGAAAAAAAAACAATTTTTGTACTATGTCGCAAAAATGAGAATCGAAATAAGCTGATGACAGTGATGTGTATATGTGTGCATGTCAGCCATAATTCTTTGTTTGTTTGTTTGTTTTTTTCTTTTTCAACATACAACGTAGTTAAACTGTTCTACATTTTTACACTTGCTTCTTCTGTCTTATTTCCTTTCTGACAGCTTTTATGTTACATAATGAGTTTCAGCAACAACAACAAAAAACTATGTATTATCCCTTCTAATAAAATTTTGTTGACTCAAATTGGTTCTTGCTCATATTATTAATGCTGACTTTTTTTAGTTATTTTAATGTAGCATGTCAAGCTTAGGTAAAATCTATTTTAAAATCGATGTTGATGTATAAAATTTTCTTTTCTACTGTAATTGTTTGTGGTTTTGGCTTCATGTTCTTATCAATGAATATAGAAGGATATCCGTTTTTGATAAGTAACACGTCCAGATAAAAGTGCTGGTTTAGTGCTGCTTGATCGTAAGATTTATGTTGAGAAAATGACAACGTTATTATCAGATGACATCAAATTCTCAAAACCCATCAATGAGAAAAACAAGACTGAAATTATAGAAAAGCAACTAATTGAAGTTCTTAAGACAATGAAAAATGAGCAGTTAATCAACGAAAAGGTCTTTGAGAACATAAAACCAACAGCATCAATAATACCGCGATTATATGGTCTGCCAAAAATACACAAACCTGGCCTACCTCTTAGACCGATCCTCGATATGTCAGGATCCCCTTACCGCCCTGTAGCAAAGTGGTTGGCTAATCTCTTAGATCCAGTTAGAAAACTCATTTGTAAACATTCCGTAAGTGATACTTTTGAATTTATCGACCACATAAAAGAAGTGAATGTAAGTGACAAGATTATGCTATCTCTGAATGTAGAATTATTATTCACTAATGCTCCACTCACAGAGACTATTAATGTTATCTACAATCACATAAATAATGAGATAAAGACGAATACGGGGTGTTTATTTGAAGGAACTATTACTACGTTGCACTTGCAATGTACAGTTCACATTCAACGACGTAATTTATAGACAGAAGGATGGTATAGCAATGTGATCCCCACTTGGTCCATTACTGGCAGATTGCTTCATGGCCAGTTTAGAAAACAATCAACTCAAAAGAATTATAGAAAACCTCCACTTGTATAAAAGGTACGTGGATGATATCTTTATCATTTGTGACAACAAATGTAACTTAAGTGATCTCCTAGAGACATTTAATAGTTGTCACCCATCAATAAAATTCACACTTGAGGTTGAAAGCAAACAAAATATTCACTTCCTTGATGTAGATATGACAAGAAAACAAGATGGTACTCTAAAAAGGAGCTATCTACAGGAAACCTATATGGAATGGCCAACTAGCAAATTTCCACAGTTGGGTTCCCATCAGCCGAAAAAGAAACTTAATAATAACTCGCCACAAGAATACGAAGAATTTGTAGCCCCGAGGTCGTAGAGGAAGAATCAGGCCTTTTAAAGGAGATACCTATCTAAAACGGATATCCTTCTATATTCATTGATAAGAACATGAAGCTGAAAATGCCAAAACAACAAACAACTACAGTAGAAAGGAAAATTTTATACATGAACATCGACTTCAAAGCCACATATATCTTAAAGAGGAGAATTTCGGATTCTTTAAAGAGAACATTCTTCGCAGCAACATTGCGAATATTATTCTCCAGAAGATCACTGTTCACCAATAATTTGAAAGATAAATTATCGCATCTGACCAACCCAAAGTGCATTTACCAATTTACCGGCTCTCGTGGAGCTAGGTATATAGGTCGTTCGATACGTACTTTATCCAAAAGAATTCAAGAACATTGTCCGGCGTGGCTAAAAAGAGGAGGCAATGGCTCAATAAGAATTGAGCCTTTTAAAAGAGATACTTATCAAAAACGGATATCCTTCTATATTCATTGATAAGAACATGAAGCCAAAAATGCCATACCACAAACAATTACAGTAGAAAAGAAAATTTTATACATGAACATTGATTTCAAAGGTGATAGAGCCGCATATATCTTAAAGAGGAGAATTTCGGATTCTTTAAAATCTATTTTCGCGAATGTTCGGCGCTTTAACAAAAAAACCGTGATTTCCAACCCTCATCCCAAACCAATGGTGCACATGCGCTCCAGTATCCTGAAGGAACAAATGGCATATGAACCAATCGTTGGTCACCGGCTACCATGGGACTGAATCTCCTAACGTTGTTCCACCGCGTTGTGGATTAAACCTTTAGGTAAAAGGCTCCGGGTGTGGCCTCCTATGAAAACCACCTGCTTCGGTTTGGGCACCCGAGCAGTATCACAGCCCTCACACAAATCAAATGAGATTTGTGTAGCGCATATGTATCTGGTGCCCCCTTGTACAAATATTTATATGTTCAACTCATTGAAACTAAAAATTTTCTAGTATGAATCTAACCTATCTGTGTTGTCTATAATTCTCCATCGACTTCCCACAATAGGCTGATAGTCTAGGAAACTTAACTAATAAATTCACTGAAAAGTTAAACATTTCATATTCTACCAAATAATCGTGTTTAAGAGTACAACAAATCCAGATTACACTGGTATTCAAACACCAAGAACGATAAGGAAGAAAATCATACTTGTTAAATGGAAAATAGAGGGATTCCAATGTTTAAGAAGATTTTACACTCAACACTCATTTCTTTTTTCATTCAGTCGTGACTTTCACGTTTGGGTGTCATTTTCATTCATAGTTCTTGAGTTATTAGATACCTTTTGATACAAATGTATCGGTGTAACACGGCTGAGCATACAGAAAATATACACTGAAACTAGGGCTTGAAATGTTATTTAAACTTATATGTAGTGGAAAAGTGCTGTATTTGATACTTGTTGCATTGGAAACGTTGCGGATGAACTTGTAAATACACTTCGGACATACTATAAACCAACTTAGATTTGTAGTCTTTTTGTTTCCAATAAGGTGTTCATATACCTACGGATATCTGTGTTACAAGTAGTATACGTCGTTGTGTTGTTGGTAGATAGTCAATGTATATCGAAATATATGATCAGTTGTTAAGCTCATTATTAATAAAGCCTACCGAATCTTCATCACTTTAATCGGTAGTTTACATAATAATCGCCATATTCAAATAGGTTCTGTTAAATGTAGAAGAATATTGAGTTGACTTTAAACGAAAAGAATGAAGAAAAAATAATAATTAACATTAATGCAGTAAGATTTGACGGTACAATAATAGTTTGTCCAGTATTAGTTTAAAATGATGCGAGAACAACTACTTCCTTACACTTTTTAATCCTCTTGAAGGAGCATAAGCAGCCCAACAGCCTTCTCCATCCAACTCAGTCCTGGGCAATCCTTTCCAGCTCCTCCAGTTGCTATTCATCCTTTTCATATCTGCTTTTATTTCCTGACGTAATGTGTTCTTTGGCCTTCCTCTTTTCCGCTTCCCTTCAGTATTCTGAGTTAGGGATTGCATCGTGATCCAGTTTGATTATTTCCATAATGTATATCCTATCCATTTCCATCATCTTTTCCTAATTTCCTTCTCATCTGGAAGCTGATTTGTTCTCTCCCACAGAAGGCGAGAATAATTGTGAAACATCAATTTGCACAGGTTATATATACGTGGTAAAGTTAAAATGAATTTTGAAAAGTCAATATATCGAAATTCAATACCAGGGTAGTGCGTTATAGTCACAAACTTCGAGTGATGGAGAATAATATTTATTTAGAAAGAAACAATAGTGAGAGAGAGAGGAAAGAAAGAAGTAACTAAAGTGGCAGATGATCAATCATGATAATGGGGGTATATTTAATATCGACCACTTAAGCAAGACATTAGTTTTCTAATTTACATAAACGGGTGAATGTAAGTGAATTCATGTAATACGTTCAAAGTAAAACTTGATATTAGTATCAAAGTTTATACAATAGTATGTTAGAATGATGATATGATAGTGCCAATTAATTGTAAGGTATAATCAATTTGTATGAAAAGGAAGGAAGTAAAATAAATGAAAAAAATCTCAAAAATTCTACTTTGTTTTACTGTCAATTAGATAGATATCGGACCTTGTTTGTATAGCTCACTGGTAATCACACTGATAGTTGATAGGTGACAAACACTTTCGGAAGGAAAGTCATCAAGAAGACTTTTGAACCGGGTTATAGTTTAACTACGACAGAGATTTACTGGGAGTCTGTTCCACATAGTTGAATAGCGAATAACAAAGAAATTCTGATGTAAGTTTGTGTAGGTTATCGGGATCGGCAGAACCTTCTCTTTATTAGGCAGGTTGTAGGATGATATGATAGAATACAAAGTAGTGGATGCCGAAGAGTGAGAAATACACTTTATAAGCCGCTAGACCGTCCAGCAAAAAAAATTAATGTCGTGGACAAAATAAATGCAAACCTGTCCTTGATCACTAAGAGATTACTATAACGAACAACTGCGTAAATCATCAAACAATAATCACCCTTTATATAGACGTCGTTAACTTTCTTACTAGATGTTTTTGATGAAGTGGAGAATACTGCCTATTTTTACTGTCACTTTTATCTGATCGATTGTAAAACTAAACATGCACCATAAGTACAATCATATATCTCAGGTCACTACTATAAATGAACTCGGTCATATTTTTTAATCCTGTTAAAAGCACAAAATAATCGTTCCCTGACAAAACGTCTATGCAAAAACACTTGCGTTAATCCATATGTAATAGTGAACTTTTTCCAACACATAATTTTGTAGGTATCGAATATAAGTGCAGACTTTAGTGGGGCCCATTACATTGTCGTCATTTAGATCGGACGATGTTTGTTGACGGGCTCTCCACTTTAGTGGCCCGTGGATCTGACTGCATGGAGATTGTAATGATGATTGTTATTGAAATATATATATCGCCTATCCTCGTATATAATCATCGACTTAAATCGCATTAGTCAATAACGGATTTAAATATGTCGAATAACAAGAATGGACTTGTGAATACATATATTTTGTATATAAGGCGAATGAAATAGAGAGAAGAGAAACTACGCAGAGTGGAGGTGGCTGGCTGGTATAGCCAACTCCCATTTAACCAAGCCTTAATCAATATTTATAGTTACAGACATGTAATGGGTAGTGGGATAAGAAATGTACACACACCTACGCGCTCATATAAAGATAGTCAAGATTGGTAAGCGAATAAATAACAAGGTCAAAATGTGACTCAAGTAGGATGAATAGATTGGGCTGTCCGAAAGCTAAAATAAGGTATATGGGCTTAACATAATAACCGACGCTACAAGACCTTAGATATAACTAATGTTTTTATTTGTGGGTCCCCTTAAACATATGGCGCTTACAGCTTGATGAAATCGTTTGTAGGAACTTGCATATTTTGCCTATAAGTCTTGGAAAATCAGTAGAATAACCATCTCACCTCATAAGCCCTAGACAACCTGAGACTATCTTCCCAGATATGCAACACAGGTGGTGTGGTTGTTATGTACGTATTCACCCCCTACTAATGAAATCTAATTTCTCGGGATAAGTAGCCAAGCATGAAGGATACTCGTGGTTGCCATCGTGTAAGCTTACTTCCAAAATCAGTTGTTTTGATTGTGCTATCGGAATAGCCCTAGAGATTAATTTTCAGTATTCAATATTTTTTACTTCTAACTTCTTAATCTCCTGTCCGATCGATACTGCAAACAGAAAGATGACCTATACCATACGAGAAAATTCAACTTGCTAGAAAGGGAACAAACGAGCAAGCTGTAACCGGGACATATTATTTGACTCATGATCTATGTTTCGTGTTTTTGAAATCCCATTGGTTAGCCAGCCATGAGTTCATTCGTGGTTGACGAATGATGTTCTGCGACGCAAAGAATATAACACTAAGAGTAAGATATACCTCCATCTTTAAAGCTGAACTTTATAAATTTTTCTTTGTCTCGTTGTGATGTCCAATTTTTCCACGTTTCGTTGTTGTTTTATTCAATTAATTTTGATTTCCCTGGAGGTTTTTCTATGACGAGAATTGATTTCACTCGCATTCAGTTTCGGGAAGACTAATATATAGATGTAATGTTCTTGGAGCACCTTGGATTGGACGCTTAACACCGTTTTGCCGACGGGTTTCATGTTCAGCTAGTGCTCTCCTCCTTTTTATTCCATCCTCAAGAGACATATCAGGTCCATGTTCACATCCCTCAAGACACTGGGACTATTTTGAGCGGTGACGGTTTTATCCAGATCTTCAGTTCCCAATAGGGGTGCATGGTAACCAATGTCAGCGTTAGGTGGTACTCCCCCCCCCTCGTTAATGATAATGGAGATTTCATTTTCCGTCAGTCAAGGTCGGTTGCTTAAGGCGTCTCGTAACAGCACGTACTACACTGACACATTTGTCATTGTCAGTGCTCGTGTTATCAGCGCATGCGCTATCGTTCTTCTTACAGGCCAAAGCCAATAGGCTCATAGCCTCCTGTATTAGTAACGTCTTATTTGAGCAGCAAAACATGCAGAACCAATGTGAGTTAGGCTTCGAAAATCTTTTTTATGCAGTGACACTTAAACGGGTGCATATCTTATGGAACCCCTTTCTGAATTTATCACATTGTATCGCTTCCTCCACAAGGAACAAACAGTTTGGTTGTCCACATTTGTGAGTACTAACAACCATTCTAGTCAGATTAAGGTGTAAAACACCATATGAACACAGTGTCAGTCAACGAGCAAAAGGGTACCTTAAGACAAACTTCAGCAAGATTTCAAACTTTAACTAAAGTACTTTGATTTGGACCAAGAATGCTTTTGATGCAATAATTTCACAAAAGCAAGAATAATCACAACAACTACAAAATCACTGCACTTTTTGGAACACCGACGACAAACTAATTTGGAGACAGAAACGATGCTGTAATCGGATACTTTAACTGAAATAAATTCAATTAAAGTGAAAACAGTAGTCCTGATACGTAGCGAACGATCAAAACAATATAATTTGCTCAGTGAGGAAAAATACACTTGTCCTTGTAATTAGCAAGCAATATCGAAACATTATCGACACAATGTCCACAATATATCGCACTGAATTTCGCGTATATGCGTCCAAGCAACCATCATGCTCATAGCAAAACGAATTTTCTGAACTGGTATGGATGAACACGTGAGGGAATAGGCATGCCCCTGTGTAGGTTGCGAAAAATTTAAGGTGACTAGGCACAAAAATTTTCCCTTTAACGCTTCGCAACACTTGATGCTTGTTACGACCATGTTAACCTTAATTTTTTAGGACCATTACCGGACTCAAATTAATACCCTTATCTCTTAAGGTGTGCAGACTATTTCACACGATAGCCAAAATTAGTATCCACCAAAGACATTACTGCTAAAACTGTGGCCAACGCCTTCGTCGAATAATGAGTGGTCGCTCTTCGACTATTACCACAGACAGCGGATTTTAGTTCGAATCTGGAATATTCGATCGTCTTACTACACTATCGCGGGTCACACGATTCCGAACGACCACACACCACTCACAAGCTAACGAGCTGTCAGAACGATGTCACCTAGAGCTGAAAGCTTCACTCTCATATGTTAAAATTTGAAAGTCGACTGACGCTCGTCAACTATTGTTACCCGGTGTTCGCAATGCGATGAAAGCAGACGATGAATGCACTGCAGCACGACTTGTTCACGGAACAAAACTTGACTTCTGACTTCTGATTTCCTTGGGTTGGCATATTTCGATCATAACGGTGTTACATGTAAAAGCGTTTTCATACTCCGAATACCTGTGGCATATATAGATTGATTTTATTAAACCCATTTAAAAAATCCCGAAAATTGATGCTCACAAATACACAGACAGCATATTTTGTAGCTAGCTCAGGCTTTCGAAAATACAGTTCATCTCGTGATTTTAAAGGAGTCTAGGTTACTTTTCCTCTGTAGTCATTGTTAAAAACGAAAAGTAGGTTTTAAGCATTTCTGATCTTGAAAACTATCTGCGCCATTAAATTTATACAGAAGACTGTTTATGTAATGAGCATTAGGATATTGTCAATCTGAACTGTTAAGTCAATTCAATGAATGTAACAAACATCAACTTTTTAAGCGGCTTTTTCACATTTTCTGCCTAAACTCGCGTATCACCGTGATATTGTAAGCAGTGTAACTCTAAGTTAGAACAACGACCGAACATTGTTACAGTTTGATATAAATAATTTATCTTTGTGAATTCACTCTTATCTTTTTCTATTGACAAACCATTATATACTGTAGAATATGTAATACACGTGGATTACATTATTTTTATACCAAAAACAATTACCGTGTCAATGAGAAATTTCCCGAAGCTATTATGCTCGACGCTAAGAGAAAAAGCAGTAAAATGTATCATATTTCACTAACAAAAGTAACTTTTCATTTTTGGATTTATGACCAATACCATCTAAATTTGTATGATACACAAGTATCACACAAATTGTAGGTAATGGTTCCTCTAACAGATTATAAAGTTGTTTCATTCAGTTTCAGCTAGACTAACGTCGATGTAATAATCTGCTGTATTCAGTATTTTATGAATATTCAGGTGATATATATGTATTCATATGGATAAGTCGATTTTATCACTAATTCCGTTGGAGTTTTTCTAAAGACAGCATAGATTCCCTGGTTTTGTACATGTGCAAGTACCGTAACGGTGCACAGTGCAATTCTGTGATTATGTTGGTTAATTATTATGTGTTTTAGCTAGTATCCTTCATCAAACTTATCGATTTCAGAATAAAGTTTTAAATATCTACTCGGTTTGGAGGTTATTCAGTTGCAAAAGAACTTTTAAGCACCGTTAGTTAGATTTGTATTCTCAGTAAACACGTTTCGCAAATAGCTGGCATATAGTTAGTGTAAACGGAAAGAGTGAGTTTCTACTTTTATTTTGTTAATCGATTCATTATCCAACTAATATGAGTGAATTTCCCGTTTCAGTTTTAGATCTAAGCTATGATGTGGTTTATATACCAGCGAAAATAAATTTTAAGAACAGAAGGCTTTCTGTTATAAACATTCTTCGCTAATAGCCATATACTGCTGTTATCTATCTGGAATGCTAAGCAAAGTTATATACTAAATGAATAAAACTGATCCATTGTGTGTCCAGTTGTTAAAAAGTTTAATTCTATGCAGCGAAAAAGCTGCCGTAATAGCCCGTACAATTAAAAGACAAACTGGTATCTTTCAAACACTTGTTCAAGTGAAAGATTCAACTGAGGCTAATTTAAGATTCAGCGTAGATGTCAAAACTTTGGCCGATGTATTAATTCAAGAAGTTGTAAAGTACGACCTAAATTTACTTGTAAGTTATTCTCACTGATAACGCTGTATTTGATTTTGTTCCCCCTTGATACATTTTCAAACCAAAGATCAATTAATGAGTAGCCGGACAGCCTTTTTTGATCTAGAGATCCCAAAATTAACTAACTATTCAAAGATCTACAGGAATGACTTTTCCTATAAGAATAGTGTGAATTTATCCCGATGATTAGAAGCATTTGGAAATCATATGCTAACTAAAAATACCCGAAATAGTGCAATCTAAGGCAGATAGAACCAGATGAACACAAATTAACGTATTATTTTTGTGATTCGTAATAAGCACGCAACCAAGTACAAAGGAATCATCAGTTAGTACAAATATCGCACTTAAATAATAGTTGTTATAAAACTTGTACACTCTCCTTCAACAACACTTTCTGTGATCTTCTAAAAGTGCATACGTTCGAAATGGTTTTTGCACAGCTGAGTTTTTGTAAACGGAACAAGCACCTATTCTCCTTTTTGTATCTTTGACATTAAAGCACTTTCTTCAGGTTATTGTAACATAAATGCATACGTCATTACCCACGATGTATTCAGCGTTCAGTTTCGTTTCTGGTCATCCGATATGTAGCTATTATTCTAGAAAGTTGAGCAGTTACTTTATGACTGTTACTTTGCTATTACTATGATAAAACTTCCCTTATTCCATGATTAAATCTGTCTAAACCAGTTTGATTCGATTATGTGTCGATTATATAATGTCTAAGGTACTTACGCTTTTACATTTGGGGAATCTATCCTCTTTCATGAAAAACTTCATAGTTAATCTATTGCACAATAATGTGGGATTGCTTAATCGATGACATAATCAGTGTAAACATATATTTTATTACGGTTCTCACATTTATCTTTCCACCTCTTACCTATGCCTCAGCTTGGTAGCGGAAACGCAAAGAGTATATCACAGGAGAAACTATAGAAGCGCTTGGTCGATCATGAAGGTGATGTCCAATCCATTGCAGCTTCAAATAGTGTTTGAGAAATTGTGAAAACACTGATGACATTCACCTATGGCTTAAGCCAAAACACTAAGCAATACCAATGGATTTTGGTGGCGTCTGCCAAGTCGATAGGTGCTCCTAAACTCATCCTGCCAAACTTTAAGTTCTCTGCAAAGTAAAGACAGCCGAAAATTTAAACGAACTAAAGTTTGATCAGTAATCATGAGCAGCGATAGGAAACAAAGTCGGGAAAAATTGGAGATTGGTGGCTGCAGTTTATTCAAGATGAAATTCAGATGTAAGAAAGAGCTAATTGGAAGCTGTATGTTCAAGGAACAGTCTACGCACGCAAGCATATATAACTAAACCATACAAAACAACAGATATTACTCAGTAGCTAAGTTGAAGATTAAAGAACGTATAAAATATGGTCTTTTCAGTGCTATAAGACTTTCCAAACTAAATTGAATGGAGCAAGATTCAAGCCTTAAGCTTGATTATTTAACGCCGAGCTCTTTGACCGTTATACTAGTGCTCCTGCATTAAATAAAACTGAAAAATATCGTCGCTTATCTTTCTTTTATCTACATAAGCAAAGTTGAGTTATATTACACAATTTTTATGTTTATTAGACGTTGTAACATTATATATTGATCTTACCCAAAATTTTTGATAGAACTTTCTAGTACTATCAAAACATTAATTTTAAAACTTTCAGTTTCCTGGATTCAATAATTCGGTGTTTGGTGAAGAAAATAATCGTTTTTCTGGTAGTTCCGGTAAAACAGTGACAATTCAACTATCTTCTAGAGAAAATCTCGCTGATCTTTTAGGTAAGAGTGTGGCTTTCTTTTTATTGCATTTTCATGAAGGTTGTGAAATGAGAAAGCATTTTTTCGTGTATTCATTATAGTTAATGATGAGCACGCATACGAAATAGATGCTACGCATCAATAAATTTTCGATGATAGCTTTTTAACCACTAACATGCCCTCATTTTAGTAATCACCGAAGTAGCTGAACGGCGAAATTCTTTGGCAAGTCAAACGCTATTTGGATTATGCTATAAAACAAACCGAAGTGCGGTAGCAGAATAATTATCGTTTACATCTAACTCAGCTATTCACAAACAAAGTAGTAATTTGCTAGTTTTGTGCAGTTTAGACCAATTCTCACTGTGTATACTTTTACATAAAAGCCTTTAATGGTAGACATTATTTGATATTCGATTCTTATTTTCTTGTATGACTTCTGAACTCACATTTTATCTTTAGAATTTCAAGTTCGTATGAGCTATTTAATTTCTGGCCAGTTTATACCCTAGTTTCACTTCGACTTGAGACGATTTAGAACAAAAGGAAAAAAGATGGCTACTTCATCTTAGAATGGTTCTTCACAGAGGTACTTACCGGTTACTCCTCCAAAGATAGAACACCTGACTTTCAGACTTGCAATTTTTCTATATTATATGTTCATTGGAAATATGTTTTGCATAACCTTTGAATTTAGCTCTCTACTAGATGCATCACTTTAAAAATCGTAATTGCATAAACATGCTAGTAACTATTAACGGCTATTTACACCATTATATAACATTTCTTACTAAAATTTATGACTGTATAATCGGATTCATTTCTTATCTTTAACTTTTCAGTTGACGTTTTAGGCAACGATTTAGATTTTGCAAATCAATTAAGTGAAATTTGTTTTCGACCGCTAGAATCGTTTCAGACACAATTTTCAGTGTGTAACATTTGGGAAGATTTGGTCTCCAATTGTAATTCACTATTTAAAATAACCGATATAAAATATTCTGATATTGGAACATTTGGTGTATGGATCGATCCAATAGGTATGTGTGATTGCATTCATTTTGCTGTTTTTACAAAGTTTTTATGGAAAATCCACTTTTAGCAAGGGTTTATGAACATAAATGCTGGTGTGTATGTACGTTCTGCCAAGCTCCAAATAAGGCGAGATGTGTGTCTTGAATCCCACAGCCACCCAAATACCAAAAATTCTAAATAGTTCAGTTTTGTTTATGTTTATTTCTACGGGATTTTTAAATTGCGCATTTTACAAGGCTTATTTGTTTAATAAACAGATTTATGCTACTAACTTGAAAAGGACTTAATAACGGTTCGATCGGTAGAAAAATATTAAGGTTTATTTCACTTTATCATGTTTTTTTCTCATCATCTGTTTACAATCCATAATATGTAGACATCAAAAGTTATCAATTAGCCTTGTTTGATTTCATACCTACACTTATTATCATGATCTACAAAAATTTGAAATAAATAAAGAATTAGAGTGACTCAGGTAGCACTACAGTAGCGTCTCAGAGTATCAAGCTGAATATACGGATTCAAATCCCACATAGAGCACCAGCTCTCCAACAACGCCGAGTATACCTTGTTGACGAATGTCAGCTAGTACAAAACCTAGGTTATACATGGTTTGTTATCACTTACTTTGAACCATCTAACATCATTTGAACTAAAAAAAAACTAAATATCGACTACTTACGTAATCAGTTACTGTAACTGCCAGTAACTATAACCTCATCTTCTTTATTTTGTATGACTAGTGATTTTCTTCTTCAATATACGTCAACCTTCACTGTACTCTTAGGTCTTCGTCTTTTGGTTATTATTGTTTAGAACATCTATCATTACTTCATTAACTAAATTCCATTAAATCTTTACTGCGAATATTACTTCAGGCTATTTACAACCAATTATAAAGATTCAATGAAACGATATGATGAATTCATTTTATTCTACAAATCTTGATATTCTTGCTCTAATTAAATTTATCAAAGGAAAATAATGCAGGAAAATTAATTAGATTCTTGTTACACCATACTGAAACTTATACATATTAACTTCGAACCTACTTCATCTATCCATGTACTCTAATGTTAAATCTTTATTTTAATTTTAAAATATTATAGGTTATCAGTAACTAATGATAGATAGATCAAAATAAAATGTATCGTTATTTTAATTCACTAATCAACTTATTGTTTTTAATCTAAAGACTAATGAATCAATTGTTAATTATCATAGATCAAAAGTCTTTTTTTCTAGTTTGAAAATATTTCTCTTTTTATTAGAAACATTAAAATGGACTAGAATAAAGTTTTTAGAAGTTAAGTAGGATAAAATTTCTATCACGGTTTCTTTTTATCAATATTATTGTTTACTTACGCCTGTTACTCCCAAAGGTGCATAGAAAGCATTCCTCAAACCACTCTGTCCTGGGCCTTCTTTTCTAATTCCATCCAATTCTTGTTCATTCTTCTCATATCTATCTCCATTTCTCGGAGTAATGCGTTCGTTAGTCTTCCTCTTTTCCTTTGACCTTCAGGATTCCATGTGAGGGCTTGTCTTGTGACGCAGTTGGGTGCTTTCTTCAATGTGTGTCCTATCCACTTCCAGCAATTCTTCCTGATTTCTTCCTCCACTGGGATCTGGTTTGTTCTCTCCTACAGTAGGTTGTTGCTAATAGTGTCCGGCCAATGGATATGAAGTATTTTGCGTAGACAATTGTTGATAAACACCTGTATTTTCTGGATGATGGTTTTCGTAGTTCTCCAAGTTTCCACCCCATATAGTAGAACTGTTTTGACATTTGTTTTGAAACTTTTACGTTTGGTGTTGATTGACAGTTGTTTTTAGTTCCAGATGTTCTTCAGTTGTAAATATGCTGCTCTTGCTTTGCCGATCCGCGCCTTCACATCTGCATCAGATCCACCGTGTTCATCAATCATGCTGCCCGGATATGTAGAGGCTTTTACATCTTCCAAATCTTCTCCGTCCAGTGTGATTCGATTGGTGCATGCTGTGTTGTATCGCAGAATATTACTTTTCCCTTTGTGTATATTGAGACCTACTGCTGTTGAGGCTGCTGCTACACTGGTCGTCTTCTCCTGCATTTGTTGTTGTGTGTGAGATAGAAGAGCCAGATCAATATTATAAATTTTTAAAAATGTCTTTGAAGGCTTGGCAAACGATTTGATGGGATACACTAAACTCGAATTTAAACAAAATATATTATAAAATAGTAAGGTTTAAATAATATTTTTTAAAGATCTGAAGAGATATAACACTGTTCAGTTACCTAAACTAATTAAAGTTTACATAATTTTTTATCAGTGACTGATATTTTGAACATCCGTCGTCGTAACCATTACGTTAATGACTTATTTATTGGAACACATAAATATTGATACAAAGGAGAATCAAACAGTTATTTGCCACACAAATCATTATATTTGTGTGTGGGCTGTGATACTGCTCGGGTGCCAAGCCCGAAGCAGGTGGTTTTCTTATGGAGCCACACTCGAAGTCTACGACCTGAAGGTTTAATTCACATGGCAGTGGAGCAACGTCAGTAGATCCAATCCCATAGTAGCCGGCGACTAACGATTGGTTCATATGCCATTTGTTCCTTCAAGATACTGCAGCCCATGTGCACCATTGGTTTGGAATCACGGTTTTCCAACTCACCTAGGTGAACTCTCCATGTCCATCAACCCGGTTAATGCGCCGGACATTCGCTTTTCGTCCTCTCAATTTCGTAAACACCAGTAATGCCGTGAGTTGGACTCCCCTGGCAGTGACTGTATACGCGTGGCCATGTGAGAGCATTTGGAGAGGGAACACTTACTCTTTCCAACCTCAACTGTACCTGGGCATTTTGGGGCATTCAGTACCAATATTCATTTGTATTGGTAAATATCTTAATCATTACTCTTAATTGAAAAAAAGCCTTACTGTTCATTTAATGAAACACAATGTTCTTAAAATATTAATAATTTCCATTGTGAAAATTAGAAAAACACATATCAATGGACAAAATTGTTTTCAGTTAGATTGTCATCAATCTTCATTCTTAAATACATGAATGTTTACATGAAAATATTCAACCAATCAAGACAATCTATGTATCAATGATCACAATAAAACAGATTGGATAACTAAAATTAACAGGTAAACAGTACAAAATGATAGAAAGAAGACAGATGTACTAGTAGTATTGATGAAAATAACAAAAATTCTGGGCAATAGTTCAATATAGGAAGTAGGTCAAGCTTCAATAAACAAACTTATAATAATAATAATAATCACAAAACATTAAAACTACATAAAAGGAAATGTGTAAATAATTACATAGTGATGAATAGAAGCGAAAAGAGGTGAAAAATGACAAACAAATACAGGATGTGAGAAAATCAATGAAATCGTTTATTAAGTCATGTCCGACCCAGGAAGCTATAGATGAGTTACGATTTTTTTCTGAACACATAATTTAGGGTTTTAGGTTCAGATCCCTATAGCTTCTGCTTTATGTAGGAGAACTCCATTGTGTAATGACGAACGTATACGATAGATCACTCAAAACGGTTCACTTTTATCCACCATATAACCACTGTCAATCAGGTTTGCCAAAATAGAGCTGAGTTTCTTTTTTGTGTTGCCCTTTCCAAAACAAGCTGGGAGCTTTTCAATTATTTGATGGTTAAGTCGCCTGGTGGTAGGCCTAATATAGCTACCTCCCTAGGAGCAGCTGGATTAGTAGATGCACAGTGAGGGGGCAAACTTGGGTAACTTATCCTTTTCTTGGTTAGACATCACTGGCCTACAAGGAAATGTCAACTCAAGGTTGGCTGCGTAGAATGTCATATTAGCTGCCCTCGCTAATCTATCATACAGGAATCATCTAAACACATCCCCGTTGAGTTGTATTTTAAGAATAGATATTTCTTTCGAGTGATCAATATCCCCAACTTATTTCCCCCAGATGCATGTACTTTTTATAAATTTCCTGTGTAACCGATCTCCATTGGTGTTTTTAATAAACTCCAACTCCTTCTTTATGGTATCATCTGAAATCTTTTTTCTCTGCTTATTAGATATATAATCAGACTTTCTTGTAACGAAGTGAAGTGAAACTAGAATGATGTGTACTAGCAAACAAAGAAGCTCTTTCCATACATGCTTCTACTCAACGAGCGATCAACCCATCTATTCTTACTCTACCGTTCATAAAAATTTACATTATATATCTTATCTACTAGAACCTTAAAATGATACATGTCTAGGAATCGATTTTGTTATAAACATGAAAACGGAACGAACTCAGATGTCCAGACGTCAATATATAGAGTAGAGTAGATGAAATACACCATCGAAATTTATTTATTGAAGTGATCTACGGAACAGCATTTAGTTAATCTCAATAGTTGAGATCATGGGTCATTTGAAGCTAGACCACTATGGAAAGCCTGGAAGCACTGAACGGCTGTTTCGTCACATCATGGGGCTCCTTAGCAGTGCGCGTCCACGACCTCGCCTCAGGGGATTTGAACCCAGGACCTATCAGTCTCGCACGCAAGCGCTTAACCACTAGACCACTGAGCCAGCCGGCATCCAACGGTATTAATGTCTAACTTCAAGTAATCCACGAAATCGCGCCAACGTCCACCATTGTCTTCAGTAAGTTACTATCTCACAACTGATAGTTCTGATAGGCCCTAGGTTCGAATTTCGCCAGGTGTGATCGTGGATGCGCACTGCTGATCAGTGCCATACTAGGATGAAACGGCCGTCTAGTGCTTTCAGGCTTTCCATAGTCATCTAGCTTCAATTGACTCATGATCTCAATTATGGGAATTACTACAATCTCCACAAAACCCTTTCTGATACTGTTCATTAATATCTTTATTATTATTTCTATTTATACTCTTCTCATTTTTTTTTCTTTTTTCTTTGACCGTTTTTTTTCTTTCTATAGACTCAACAGCTGATTATGCTCAAGATCAATTTGATAAATTTCATTTTACTTCAACTAATTCATCATCTACTCATTTATCTGGTATAGAATTAGATAATCTAAATCAAATTAATCATTTTTTTGATAATCCAACAAGTTTAATACGTTTCTATCATGGTAGTCTTATTAATGTTACAATTTTATTAGGTTTATTTGATTATTCAAATGGTTTACCATTAATTGGTGTTATAAATCAACCATTCTATTTAAATAATATTATCAATTCACATAATAATGATAATCATCTATTGAATGATCAAACAAAGTAAGATTTATAATAATAATAATTATTATTATTATTATTGTTTGATTTATTATTTATGATTAATTAATTAATTATTGAATTATTAAAGATTCCTATTGTGAAAATTAGAATAATGTATGTAAGCGAACAATTATTTATCATTAGATCGTCATCAGGCATTTCTTTACAATATACATGGAATATTTATACGAAAATGTTAAACCAATAATCAATAATCACAAATTCAACTGTTCCTATGAAGATAGCTATATTGGGTATACTATCAGGCAATTTAACCAACGAATGAGTGAACATTTACTAGCTTGGTTTATAAAAGGTCAGTTCTATCTTGGCATATCTTATCGAGAGACTCTAATTTAGCGACGAGCCAATCAGAAGCGTTTGAGCAATTTCAAGGTCACGGAGCCAAGTTCAACACGCGATGCTAACATACGGTCGGTTCACAGCGGATTTTAGAGAGGAGGTGATTAATGAGAGGTTAAAACAGATAGGACGGCGAAACTCTAATGTAGGGACGAGCCAATGAGAAGCGTTTGAGCAATTTCAATTATTAGCCAATCAGAAGACAGTATAAAGTAAAAATATATCACAAGAAAGTAATGAATTACAGTGGATATTCTTCTTTTACATGATTTAAAACTTGTTAAGGTTTGATAAAGGCTCAGAAGTTCTGAATTCATAATGCATATTGTATAGAAACTCGTCCATAGGGTTAGGGTTTGGGTTAAGGTTAGGGTTAAGAGTTAGGTTAAGGTTAGGGTTTAGGGTTAGTTAGATTAGGGTTTAGGGTTAAGGTTAGGTTAGGTTAAGGTTAGGGTTTAGGGTTAGATTAGGGTTTAGGGTTAGGTTAAGGTTCGGGTTTAGGGTTAGGGTTAGATTAGGGTTTAGGCTTAGGGTTAGATTAGGGTTTAGGGTTAGGTTAAGTTTAGGGTTAGGGTGCTAACATGAGATCGGCTTACATCGGATTTTAAGAAGAGGTGTTTATTGACAGGCTACAACCCCACTATCACCATAACCATAACCCTAAACCCTTTCCCTAACCTCTAGAATCCGTTGTAAACTGCTCGCATATTAGCACCCTAACGTGTGGCGCATATATATTGGCGCTCTCTTGTACCAATATTCATGTTTTCAAATAATAATAAATAGCACCCTAACCCAACCTTGACCCTAACCCTGGGCTACAACCCTAACCACTAACCCTATGGACGAGTTTCTATACAATATGCATTATGAATTCAGAGCCTCTGAACCTTTATCAAACCTTAACAAGTTTTTAAATCATGTAAAAGAAGAATATCCACTGTAATTCATTACTTACTTACAATATATTCTCACTTTATACTAACTGTCTTCTGATTGGCTGATAATTGTCAAGGTCATTTAAGATTCGTTCAAAGGTCGTCGCTAAATTAGAGTCTCGCCCATCTTATTGATAACGATCATACTTACTTACTTACGCCTGTTACTCCTAATGGAGCATAGAAAGCCGACCAGCATTCCTCAAACCACTCTGTCTTGGGCCTTCTCTTCTAATTCCATCCAATTCTTGTTCATTTTTCTCATATCTATCTCCATTTCTCGGCGTAATGCGTTCTTTAGTCTTCCTCTTCTCCTTTAGTTTTGAGGATTCCGAGTGAAGGCTTGACTTGTGACGCAGTTGAGTGCTTTCTTTAATGTACGTCCTATCCGCTTCCAGAAATTCTTCCTGATTTCTTCCTCCACTGGAATCTGGTTTGTTCTCTCCACAGTTGGTTGTTGTTGATAGTGTATGGTCAACGGATTTGAAGTATTTTGCGTAGACAACGTAGATAACGATCATACTGCAGATAAATCGGAAACATTTCGAGTGATCTACCGTATACCTCCATCATTTCCCAACGGAGTTCGTTCCTGTCTCCTACATATAGCTGAAGCCATTGGAATTCGTACATATAACCCCAATTTATGTGTACAGAGGAAATACGTGACCCCCCTATCCCTTCCATGGCCAGTTATAACTTAAAAAACGATCTTTTATTGCATTTTATTATTTATTTATTTATTTCATTCTATTTTTGTCATCATTAACCTTATTTTCACATCCATTATTTGTCTGTAACTTTCCGCCTCTTTCCGTTCGTATTCTTCACTGTCTAATTATTTACTCACTTCTTATTACATAATGATTTTAATGTTTTGTGATGACTATTGTAATTCTATTTAACCACGTTCGACCTTCTATTTCCAATGTTTGACTGTTGATATGACTTTTGTTATTCTATTTTATTTTATTATTCTAACTACTATCAGTACACCTCTATTCCTACTATAAACTTGTACTTTTACCTATTTTATGTGTAGAGACTTATTCTATTTGATTGTGATTATTGACCCATATTGGATTGATTGGCTTACATTTTCGTATAAATATTCATGTATATTAGAGGAAAACCTGATGACGATCTAATTGAAGACAATATTGTTCGCTTATGTATGTGTTGCTCTAATGAATTATTGGTTACAATCATTGATTTTAAGCTAATTGAACATAGATTAGATCAGCATCCGGTAACCATCAGTAATCTTATATGATTAAGTTCCTTAATATAGACAAATGATCTTTTTATGATTTAGTAGATGTTTAATAAAACTTTACGAGTTCATAAGTCTAATGCTAAGCATTGAGTATTGTGTAAAAGATGGTACATTGATTATAGTTGGAATCTAACATTTTTATCAACTGAGATGATGTTATTGCATACTAGGTAAGATATTTTCAATTGATTAAGAATATGTTTGAAACAGAATAAAAGTGGACATTCTTTAACTTGGTAATGACCTATTAAGTTACTAACAATTCATCTGTATCAACTAGGCTATCTGATTATAGTCTTTATGGAGTTTAATACATTATTCCTTTTAGTACATCTCTTGTATAATATTTAAAATAAACTGAGCCACAAGTGATATAATCTTGAAAAGAGCAAGAATAAAAAGATTCTAGCAGAATAGCATGAATTCATTTTGATTTCGTCTTGTTCTCATCAGCTGCTTACAACCTGTGATATTTAAGAATCATAATTACATAATGGGTTTAAATGACTTAAATAAAAGGGTTTGTTTGGAAGTTATATTGAAGACGTATTAGTATAGTGTAACAAAGGTGTAAATAAATTGAATAGACTGAATATTGTAAATATATATACCTTATGTAAAAGAGCATTCTTCAACATTGATTGTGACAACAGTTCAAACGGCTAGAAACAAGTGAATGCACAATGAGTAAACATTGATAGGAATATAATGAGTAGAGTTCAGTTGATAAAATAAGATTAATTTGGAAGATAGTTAAAATAAAATTCAATGGTGTTGAAATAAATGCAGGAAGAGTTTAAAGAAGAAGGGAAAAAATTTTCTTTTTAAGATACAGCAAAGGAATATTTGTCACCAAGGTAAGGAAAGATTAATAACTATCTCCTTTTGAACACATAAGTCAGTTTGGTAACGGCTTCAGCCAACTTCAAAAGATTAGAGTTTGTCTCCTTACTAATCACCTTAAAGAATTGCAAGATATCTACCTGATGTCCTGCATCAAGGCGATGTTTGATGATTGTACTGTTTAGAGTCTTTCTACCTCTTGTTCTGTGACTTTTTGGAACATCTTCAAAAAATCTAAGATATTACCCTCCTTTCTGTTAGGCCAATGTAGCTGCTTTGGCAGTTACACGAGAATCATATTTATTTCATTCAGGATCTATTTTATTTTAGTGGATACATTTTGCATTCATGTCTGATGAAATTATTTTTTTATTATTGTTGAATTTACGATGATTTAGAAGATTTATACCTTAATGAGGATGTTTGATAAATCACTACATCAAAAAACACCATTGTGAAATATATCATTTTTTGTAACAGGTTGTATATCAATAATGCATGTTACATAGCAATCAAGAAGAGGAATACAACATACAGATTTCATTCTATTCAACACTGTTGATATTTAGAACTAAATTTTGATCGGCTATCGTTACTATATGTGTATTATGTGCGGATCACCTTGATATGTGTTAAGTTGAACAGATGGATCATGGTTAGCAGTGGAATCTAGGACACTCCTTTTATCCTGTTCGAAATACGTCAGCTGGATGTGTCTGCACTTCAGTATTGATGTTTAGGATGCACGTATATCAATAACATCTGAATAAATAATGTCTTTCATATCAACTACGAGAGAATGTTAACCCTTTCAGATAGAATTAGATAACTTTTCCTAAATTGTGTCAAATATACATCAATGAATTTTAACTTTACCAGTATATTATCTTCATCGAGAGCCAGTATTCAATCATGTATGGTAACTGAATATCTTTAATTCGAATTGAACAATTACGGAAATCCTTACACTAATTGTAGTTCATTTGTTTATTTCACCATAGCAACTAACTAAAACTTCATAGCTACTTTTTCTTCTAATGATTTCGATTATAATTCTCTTAAATAAATTTCATTTTATGATCAGATTTAAACCCAAAAACTCTAATAGTCTATTGATTATACCGTTTTACTCAATGATGTTAAATAATGAATGAATTCGAAGGGTTTTTAATGTATGGCCTTTATTTGTTAATGATTGATACTACGTAAATAAGTGTAATGATATGTTTTCCTTTTTGTTTAATATAACTGTTATGCAAAGTTTATGAAGAATTTGTTCGTTGTAAATAATTATTCTTACTATGATCAATATTGATTAGCATACTGTTATTTTTGAATTGGTTAGTTCCCATGTTAACAACTAGAAATTATCTCAAGTTATTAAATGATTGAAGATCAGTCAACGTTAGAATACATAAGTGATAACATTTCAAATTTTAAAAGTAAATGACATGGGTTCGAACCTCACAGTGAGCATCATTTTCCTTAAGATTGAAGATACACTCTACTGATAAGTGGCAATTAGCATGAAAACTATGTTGTACAGAATTCTTTATCGACTACTTCTAGTCATGTAAAACAAACATATTATTATTTGTCAGTCAGTTAGTTTTTGTTATAATGAGTTCTCAGAATGAACTTGATTTAAATATAGTTTCCATTTGAACTCTTTGAATTTATAAGCATAATACTCAGAACTTTCAGTTCCTTTCTGTCAACATGTTACTTTTATACCAATAAGTCGAATTTCATTTAACTTACTGTGTAATGAACAACTTTATAAACTATTTAACTTAGGATCTTACTTACTTACTTACTTACGCCTGTCCGGCGCTTTAACCGGATTCCAAACCAATAGTGCACATGGGCTCCAGTATCCTGGGGGAACAAATGGAGTATGAACCAATTGTTGGTCACTGGCTTCCATGGGACTGTATCTCGTTACGATGCTCCACTGCCTTGTGGATCAGACGTTCAGGTCGAAGGCTCGTGGAGTGGCCCCCTAAGACAACCACCTGCTTTGGTTTGGGCACCCGGGCAGTATCACATCCCTCACACATCGAATGAAATTTGTTTGGCGCATATGTATTTGGTGCCTCATTGTACCGATTTTTATGTGTTAAAATAAATAAGGATGTGCTACTCCTCATGAAGGAGCATAGGGCGCTCACTAGCAACCAACTAACTTACTGACAAATAATAATATGTTTGTTTTACATGACTAGAAGTAGTCGATAAAGAATTCTGTACAACTTAGTTTCCATGCTAATTGCCACTTATCAGTAAAGTGTATCTTCAATCTTGAGGAAAATGATGCTCACTGTGAGGTTCGAACCCATGTCATTTACTTTTAAAATTTGAGACGTCAACTTAGGATCATATAATAATATCAAATTAATATTAATACCATTTAACTGATCTCAATGTAAATAATATTACTTAAATTCAATTAACTTTTCATCTTTTTTTTATTTTATTATTATAATTTAGTTCATTATATAATTATGGAAGAATATTTTGGGGTTTCAATATTATTGATTCTGGAAATTCTTTACCTATTACTAAATATTCAAATAATTGTTGTAAAACAGCTTTATTGAATTCATTGGATAATTTAAATTTACCTAAATATCTACATTTTCCAGATAATTTTTTGATGTACTTTGTCCAGATCGTGTATTCAATGAAGAGAAACCAATTTTAAAACTTGCTTGTAGTTCTGTAGAATTTAGTCGTTTGACTAATTTATTCCATAGTAAGTTTATATTTAATATCAGTGATTAATTTTATTACAATTTTCAATAGTATTTTATTGTATACTTGGATGCAATAAGGAGCTACTACTTTCTCTACCTCAATAGTATCTTAATTAATATCAATCTTTGATGAATACTGTTATGACTTTATGTCCGGCTTTTATCACGTGATTTATCTACTAATCAAAATATGACCTATACAATCTTCGCAACTGTGCCAAACCAATGACGTTCGACCGGTATGGGCAGCCTAGCGTCCTTATTGGTCCGATGTCCGCCTAGCCCGTCCACTTGAGTCCAGAACACCAATACCAGCTCCCACTATGCGAATCGAATCGAATCGTTATTTCATGCATACTTGGTTTATATATCAATCACACAGACCGCAACGCCCATAAAATAGGAAATAACATTTGTACACAATAAAGCCAAAAAGTGACTGTGGACGTGGGAGGCAGTAGTTAATAAACTGAACATAACTTAAGAACAGTAAATCGTACAATAATAAATAAAAGGTCAAAATAAAGCTTATCATAAGAAGAATATAAATATACATAATCTAATTATTGAATAGTTATATCATAAGAATGTATAGATAATATTAATCAATTAATATGTCTTAGAAGTTACTCGTGATTTAATCTTCGTTCGGATATAACAAATACAACCTACAGATTTATTTGTTGTTTATAGTGTACTTACTTACTTATTTACGCCTGTTACTCCACGTCGAGGAGAAAAGGTCGCCAACCAGAACTGTCCATTCAACCCTGTCCTAAACAATACTTTCCACTTCTTTCCAGTTGTTATTCGTCCTTTTCATATCTGCTTCTATTTCCCGACGTAATGTGTTCTTTAGCCTTTCGCTTTTCCGCTTCCCTTCAGGATTTCAATTTAGGGCTTGCCTTGTGATGCATGTGGACACTTAGATATATATATAATATTTTCAATTACTTGTATATTTAGGAATCGTATAATCAGGATGCCATTCATTTTAAAAAGGATGAAATAATGATAATATTTGGACTCTAATTGTTTCCTTATCTATAAGAACTTTCGTCTAAATCTGAACGAATAGGTTCATAGTAGTTGGGTACTGAGTTAATGTCTTGGTACGGCCGAGAGTGGGAGAGTCCACTCTCCCTCTCGTAATGCCCTAACATGGCCACGCGTATATAGCCTTTGCCAGCGAAGTCCTACCCACTGCCTTCTCGTGGCACTACTGTTGTTTACAAAATTGAGAGGACGAAAAGCGAATGTCCGGCGCATTAACCGGGTTGATGGACATGGGGAGTCCACCTAGAAGAGTTGGAAAACCCTGACTCCAAACCAATGCTCTACATGGGCTCCAGTATCCTGCGGGAACGAATGGCGTATGAACCAACCGTTGGTCACCGGCTTCCATGGGACTGCATCTCCTCACGACGTTCCACTGACTTGTGGATCAAAACTTCAGGTCGAAGGCTCGTGGAGTGGCCCCCTAAGAAAACCACCTGCTTCGGTCTGGGCATCCGAGCAGTATCACAGCCCTCACACATATCGATTGAGATTTGTGTGGCGCATAAGACACTGAGACAAATTATATTTGTAAATTCTTAGTGATTGAATTTTATGTAAATCTAATGTTTCGCTCGGTGATCTGGTTCAAGTATTTTCAAGAAAATATAATCAAACATCAAAATTATCGAATATATCTAGGTACATGTTTCTCCGGTCCATTATATACTATCATGTTAAAAATATTAAAAGTAAGAATTTTCTGCAGTGCGTGCATATGAGATATCTGGTGTGTAGAGATATGTTAAGATAATAGTTGTATGTATGTGTGTTTGGATCTGAGGTAAGTTTTAAAAAAATTCTCATTGAATATATATATATATCGCCTCTGATGCTCGAGACTCTAAATTTAAACTAAGACCTTCTCTATGGTTTTCTCTATAACCAAAAAGCTGCAGCTTTTTTAGATTTCATGGGCTACCAAAATTCACTAAACGGATGTTCCATTATAAACAGTGGTTGATTATACTAATTCATCTACGTTCAGTCTTATTAAATATCTATCTAATATTCTTAAACCATACTTACTTACTTACTTACGCCTGTTACTCCCAATGGAGCATAGGCCGCTGACCAGCATTCTCCAACCCACTCTGTCCTGGGCCTTCTTTTCTAGTTCCATCCAATTCTTGTTCATTTTTCTCATGTCTATCTCCATTTCTCGGCGTAATGTGTTCTTTGGTCTTCCTCTTTTCCTTTGACCTTCAGGATTCCATGTGAGGGCTTGTCTTGTGACGCAGTTGGGTGCTTTCCTCAATGTGTGTCCTATCCACTTCCAGCGCTTCTTCCTGATTTCTTCCTCCGCTGGGATCTGGTTTGTTCTCTCCCACAGTACGTTGTTGCTAATAGTGTCCGGCCAATGGATCTGAAGTATTTTGCGTAGACAACTGTTAATAAACACCTGTATTTTCTGGATGATGGCTTTCGTAGTTCTCCAGGTTTCTGCCCCATACAGTAGAACTGTCTTGACATTTGTATTGAAAATCCTGACCTTGGTGTTGGTTGACAGTTGCTTTGAGTTCCAGATGTTCCTCAGTTGTAAATATGCTGCTCTTGCTTTGCCGATCCGCGCCTTCACATCTGCATCAGATCCACCCTGTTCATCAATGATGCTGCCCAAATACGTAAAGGTTTTTACATCTTCCAAATCTTCTCCGTCAATTGTGATTGGATTGGTGCATTCTGTGTTGTATCGGAGAATCCTGCTTTTCCCTTTGTGTATATTGAGACCTACTGCTGCTGAGGCTGCTGCCACACTGGTCGTCTTCTCCTGCATCTGTTGTTGCGTTTGGGATAGAAGGGCCAGATCATCTGCGAAGTCTAGATCATCCAACTGCATCTTAGATGTCCATTGTATCCCGCGCTTCCCTTCAGACGTTGACGTCTTCATGATCCAGTCGATCACCAGGAGAAAGAGAAAGGGTGAGAGTAAGCAACCTTGCCTAACACCGGTCTTCACTTCGAACGACTTTGTCAACTGTCCTCCATGCACGATTTTGCAGTGTAATCCATCATATGAATTCTGTATGATATTGACTATCTTCTGAGGCACGCCGTAGTGTCGAAGAAGTTTCCATAGTGTTGTTCTGTCCACGCTATCAAATGCCTTTTCGTAGTCAATGAAGTTGATGTAGAGTGATGAATTCCATTCAATTGATTGTTCCACAATGATCCGTAGAGTTGCGATTTGGTCTGTACACGATCTATCCTTACGGAATCCTGCCTGTTGGTCACGAAGTTGGGCGTCTACGCAGTCCTTCATCCTGTTTAACAATACCCTGTTGAAGACTTTTCCCGGTATTGAGAGAAGAGTGATGCCCCTGTAGTTATCACACTTGCTGAGATCGCCTTTCTTCGGTATTTTGATCAGAAGTCCTTCTTTCCAGTCTTTTGGTACTTGTTCCTCATCCCAAATCTTATTGAAGAGAATGTGGAGTATCCTTGCAGTTGCCGCTACGTCTGCTTTTAGTGCCTCTGCTGGATGTTGTCCGGTCCTGCTGCTTTGCCACTCTTGATTTGTCTGATGGCCATGCTGATTTCTTCAATTGTTGGTGGGCCAACATTGATTGGGAGGTCCGTGGGTGCTGCTTCGATGTTGGGTGGGTTCAGTGGAGCTGGTCGATTCAAGAGTTCTTTGAAGTGTTCTACCCACCTGTTTTGTTGCTCTTCAATGTTGGTGATTACCTTGCCTTCCTTGCTTTTCACTGGTCGTTCTGGTTTGCGGCGATTTCCAGAGAGTTTCTTTGTCGTGTCATACAATTGTCTCATGTTTCCTTCTCTTGCAGCCTTTTCCGCCGTCGTTGCTAAATCTTCCACATATTTACGTTTGTCGGTTCTGATGCTCCTCTTCACTTGTTTGTTTACTTCTGTGTATTCAGCTTGTGCCTTGGCTTTTTCTGCTCTTGTTCGACTGGTATTGATTGCTGCCTTCTTGTTCCTTCTTTCTTGAATCTTATCCAGTGTATCAACAGTGATCCATTCCTTGTGGTGGTGCTTCTTGTGACCCAGGACCTCATGACATGTTGAAGTGATTGCCTCTTTGATCCCCTTCCAGTTGCTCTCCACAGTAGTTCCTTCTCCATTGAGTAGATCATGAAAGGCCTGGAACTTGTTGCTGAGGACTATCTTGAATTTGTTGAGTTTGTTAGTATCCTGAAGAAAGGCCGTATTGAACTTTTGTGATATTGTCCGCCCCGTTGTCCAGTGCTTCTTGAGTTTCAATTTCATCTTGGCGACCAGCAAGTGATGATCTGATGCTATATCAGCTCCTCTCTTGGTTCTCACGTCCTCTATAGTCCTCCTGAACGTTTTGTTGATGCAAATATGGTCGATTTGGTTTTGTGTATAGTGATCCGGTGAAGTCCATGTGGTTTTGTGTATGCGTTTATGTGGGAATATGGTGCCGCCTATGACCAGCTTATTGAAGGCACATAGATTTGCAAATCTCTCACCATTTTCGTTTCTTTCTCCCAGTCCGTGTCGTCCCATGATGTCTTCATATCCAGTGTTGTCCGTTCCAACCTTGGCGTTGAAATCTCCCATCAGAATGGTCAGGTCCTTTGTTGGGCACTTCTCGACGATTGACTGCAGCCTATTGTAGAATTGATCTTTAGCGTCTTCATTGTAGTCGTTGGTAGGCGCATAGCATTGGATGATGTTCATTGAAATGCCCTCTTTCTTTGTTTTGAACGAGGCTTTGATGATCCTTGGTCCATGAGATTCCCATCCTATAAGCGCATTTTGCGCTTGTTTGGACAGCATCAATGCAACTCCTTGTGTATGTGGTGCATTTTCTTCTTCATGGCCGGAGTATAACAGGAGCTCTCCTGTAGTTAGTCGTTGTTGTCCAACTTGTGTCCAATGTGTTTCACTGATCCCAAGTACCTCTAGGTTGTATCTTCTCATTTCTGCAGCAATTTGGAAGGCTCTCCCGGTGTCCCACATTGTACGAACATTCCATGTACCTAAATAAATGGTCGCTCTGGTTGTCAGAAGGGGCATCGGCCTCGTAACTTCCGAAGGAATTCGGCTTTCATCATGAGGCGTCATAATTCTTCTAAATGAAGACCTTCTGACTCCCAGGGCAGAGTTTAAAAGGTTTGAATAATTTTTTCTGGTTAGCGTTTTTTTAGCGAGTTAGTTTTCTACGGGATGGGGACGCTAACCCCATGCCCAACCCTCCTCCTTTATCCGGGCTTGGGACCGGCAGTAGCCCCCGGAGGGACTCCAGGCGGAGTTATTCTTAAACCATATGAAATTAAAATCAAATTCGGAATAAAAAATTCTAGTGAATTCAACGACATTATCACTACTGTTCATATGGAAGAAAATGAACTGATATCAACTTTTTTATGTTTGCTCTTTGTTAATTAATGTTCCTGTTAAGAAGAGTTTAAATATTGTATATAATCTCTTAAGTTCTGAAAATGAACTAAAGTAACAATACTCATTAATTCCCTCAGACATGATTAAAACTGTAGATCTATGCTTAAGTTCCACCTATTTTTTTAGTTTTCGACGATGTAGTGTCGGTTATTATATTAAGCCCATATACCTTATTCTATGTTTCGGACAGGCCATTTCATTCACTCTACTTGAGTCACATTCTGACCTTGTTAATTATTCGCTTATCAATCTTCACTATTTTTATATGAGCGCGTAGGTGTGTGTACATTTCTTATCCCATTACTCATCACATGTCTGTAACTTACTTTTGTGTGCCTATAAATATTGGTTAACGCTTGGTTAAATGGGAGTTGGCTATACCAGCCAGCCACCTCCACTCTGCGTAGTTTCTCTTCTCTCTATTTCATTCGCCTTATATACAAAATATATGTATTCACAAGTCCATTCTTGTTATTCGACATATTTAAATCCGTTATTGACTAATGCGATTTAAGTCGATGATTATATACGAGGATGGGCAACATATGTATTTCAACAACAATCATCATTACAATCACCTTGGAGTCAGATCTCGAGCCACTAAAGTGGAGAGCCCTTTCGACAACGTCGTTCGATCTAAATGAGGACAAAATTACTGGCCCCACAAGGAGACTTATACAGACAAACAGATGTGGTTATGGGACCACCTGTTTCTTTAATTGTTGGAGAAGTTATACAATCCTTTATGGATATTATTTGTAATGAATAACCCAACGTTAAAACTCTTCTATTATATCCTCATATTAATTCAATGTTCAATGTTTTATTTATATTGTTTCCATTTATTATTATTCTTACTATTATTATTGTTTAGACTATAAAGATGCCAATCAAGATTTAGTCAATGTTGTGTTTTATCATCATCCGGAGCTGGTTTTAAGCAATTATGTGTAATATTAGATCAAGTGGACGCATTTATTTTAATGGAAGTAAGTAGTTCTAATCACATTTTCATAATTTACTCTTGTCTTTCATCATAATGTCCTACAATAGTCAATTAGTTGGTTAGTGATTAGAGAAGTAGAATGTGACATTTATGTACATCGATTTAAGTTTCTACATCATATCAACATTGTGAGATGAATTTTTTCAAGACATATTCCAAAGTAGTAGAGGGAGTAACAGCGTTAGCGTTTATAAAAAACATTGGGCATAGACAGTGTAATTCAACAAGAAAGGGTTAATTTATGAAATAAAAATTGCAAAATATTTTTAAGACCTAATAGAAGACAAAGACAGAATCCATTTGCTCACTTGTGACTGATTATGAACCACATCACTCAACGTCTCGAACCACTGGCTACAACAATCTTCAGGTTCGCACTTACGAATACGTCTTAGTTCGGTAGTTAAGGACTTTGTGTAGCGATAGCACATTCTGTTTTCTCCACCTCTGGTTTCCTTCAAACTAACTTCTATATCATCTGTCACTACATGTTAAAAGTATTAGATATATACGGCGCTTTAAGGATATGATGTGAATGAACAATTAGCGGGATTATTTGGACGATTACTTTCAACTGATAAACAGTAATGATAACTGGTTGCTTCGATCTCATTGGTAAAATAGGATATTTAGAACAAAAGCTACGTCTTCAGTTTGTGATGGACGAGTTCACATTAGAGAAAGAAAAATTAGACCAGCGTCTTTTTTGAGTGTAGAGATAACATTCATGCTTCTAGCGTCAAATACCCAATAGACTAGCAATATTTTAGGAATAATAGGAAATCATTCCAAACTTCTCCAATTCATGACACACGATGGGTGGTCTATACCGATGCACATTTTCATAATAAACAATGAATAAGTTTGACAAATCAATCGCTTCATTTATCATGAAAGCTATATCACATTTCATTGTTTTTCTATCAAAAACTCTTGATACAGAGACAAAATACAAGTTTTGTTTTGTATCAGACTACCAGTTTTTGATTAATGAATGTTTATCAACAATCTATTCCTCTACAAGGTACCAAGTTCTGTTTTACTTAATAACTTACATTTACTGATTTCAAATGGAGAAGAAATATCAATATCATAGAATTTTACTCATTTATATCTTCTTCAAATCCAGAGCATTCAGGAAAAACACAAATATAATTATCATATTTTACAGTTTACATTATAAAATAATTTCAGTTGGGTAATTATTCAAGTAAAGAACTTATTCATGATAAACATCCACAACCCCATACATAGGACGAAACCTCGTTTTCACAAAAATTTTATGAAGTTTCAGTGTGGAGCAGTGAACTATGGAGTCAACTTAGTAGACAGTTCGTTCAGTAATTAGCAGTGATGCGTAGTCATTGTCGTATCACATTGCGAATTGGTCGAAGTTCAAAACACTGACTTTTTTCGAACATAATTGTGTCGTACTTACAACGGAATTTGTAGATCTTATGATCTGTTCTGTAGTTCTTTAGTTTAAGTATACCCAGACAATACTTAAGACCAAGTGAATTTTGTCCATTTTCAGATTCTTACTAACATAATATTGGACAAAGCCATTAATAATAATAAGAAAAAGGAGAATTAAAAAAACATGTTCGCTGATAGTTTTCACTTATCAGTCTTTGTTATCAAATCTTTCATATTAATTCCATTTAATGTTCTTATTCAGAGGTAATTTTGATTGTGATCATGAATCGATCAATGTTAGACCACCATTGAAAACCTGGAAGTACTGAACTGCTGTTTCGTCCCAGTACGGGACTCTTCAGGAGTTTGCACCCATGATTCCGCATGTGGAACTCGAACCCAGGACCTTAGGTCTACCACGCGAACGTTTGACCTCTCAATCTCTAGAGCCAATTTGTTTTATCAAATCATCTCCGCTAAGTTAAGTGATTACAAACACTAAATTTTCACTCATAGATATACAAGTTCAATTCCTATTCTATCCACTTTAGTTTGAGTAGCTAAATAATATCTCCAGATGCATAGGGACTAATCGCTCAATGGCAACGAACGGTTTGTTTGCCTAAATCCTATAATTCTGCTAACCAAGTTACAATATAAACCTTTATCACTTGTACTATATTTTGATATTAGACAAGTGAAAACAAGTGACAGAAGATTAGATCTATATTTCGTACGAGTCGATATTTTATAGTAATATATCTTCGTAGTTTTCCGATAATTATTATTCCAAAACTTCACTCAGTCAGAGATGTTATTACTTAGCTATTCAGTTTTAAATTGATCTCCTGTATAATTGAGATATTTACAATAAATAATCAAACAATACAAAATAAATCAACCATTGTAAGATTAAAGATATATCTCTTACTAATAAGTATATACCAGCACAAAATCTCGAATCAAACAAAGATTCAATCATTTTAACATTTCCACTTTTCACATTACAAATATAATATAAGTAAATAGGATGAAACGCGCGCCAAACTGGATTCCACTACTAGCCACTATCCATCTTTGCTTGTAAAACTTGTAAATTAAGGCTATATCGAGGCAATAAGCACAGTATATACATATGCCAATGACAGACTGATCATTTGCAGTCTTAAACCTCAATAGGTAGATTCAAGCCAAACAATATCAAGTGAATTTGAAATTCCCCCCCTATTGCACAAGCAAGTGGATATCGGGACTCAGTAGCTGAGTGGATAACACCATGGCATTTGAAGTGAATGGTATTTGGTTTGAGCGTCAGAGTGAACATCAACTCAGATGCAGGTACATCCAGTTGATGAATCCCAAATAGGAAGAAATGCGCGTCAAACTAGATTCCACTACTAACCACCATCCATCTTTACTTATAAACCTTGTAAATTAAGGCTATATCGAGACAATAAGCACATTATATACATATTTGCCAATAACAAACTGATCAATTACAGTCTCAAACCTCAATGGGTATATTCAAGCAAAACAATACTAAGTGAATGATATAAGTAAATTTAGTTGTGTATTTTTTCACTTACATTCTATTAACATGAATTATATATTGACAATGATATTATTAAAACTATTTATTTAACATATATATTATTCTTTATTATAATTAGCCAAATACATTTATATGGGATACATGTGGACCACATACAATCATTAATTCATTAGGTGGTGGTATTATTCAATTAAAATATGCATTAAATTCTATTAAATTATTATTATTACAAAAACAATTATCAAATAATTACAATCTAATCATTCAATTAATAATGAATGATTTACATAAATATCAAATTAATTACAATATTATAAAATCATCAGAAGAGATTCAAGTAAATTAGTTTTTTTTGTTTGTTTTTTGTTCTTATTGTCATTATTATTATTATTTTGAATGGTTGAGATCATGAGTCAATTGAAGTTAGATCACCATAAAAACCTGGAAGCACTGAACGGCTGTTTCGTTCTATTGTTGGACTCCTCAACAGTGCACATTCACGATCTCGCTTCCCGTAAGATTCGAACTCAGGAATTATCCGGTGCTTCCAGCTTCTCCATGGTGGTCTAGCTTCAACGGACTCATGATCTCAACCATTGAAATTACTATAATACCCACAAAAAACCCCTTCTGATATGAATTAACATATGCTCACTAGTGACTGGCTTCAAGAGGTATTTCCTGGAATTTTAGTGAGAAGTTGTAACCAGTGGAGTTCATTCGGGTCTGTTGTGAGATAGTAACTCACTGATGACAATGGTAGATGTGTCATTTAATTTTACGGGTTAATTGAAGTTGGACATTAGTACTGTCCGTTGGATGCAAGCTGGCTCAGTCGTCTAGTGGTTAAGCGTTCGCCCGCGAGACTGATAGGTCCTGTGTTCGAGGCGGGGTCGTGGATGCACACTGCTGAGGAGCCCCACAATACGATGAAACGGCCGTCTAGTGTTTTAAGATTTTCCATAGTAGTCTAGCTTCAATTGACTCATGATCTTAACTATTGAAAAATGTATTATACAAAACCAAAGAATGAAAGTAGATACATTTCTTTTACATAGTTCAAAAGTTTGTCAAGGTTATAAAGAGGTTCACAGGTTCTAAAATCGTAATGCATACAGTGGAGGAAATCATCCATATGACTCTATCATAGTCGGTCTCTGGAGCCACGATAAGGTCGCAAAAGCTCCCTCAGCCTCGACCATATAGCTCCAACATTGTTTGTTTGTACCCCGGTTCTTAGGTTCACAAAAAGTGACTTATGAATAATGACACGATGCACATAACCAAGTCTATAACGGAATCTGTATGCTCTTTAATCATCCGTATATATTGTAGTACCCGACTGTAGCCAGTGTTACTGGTGCTTTTATCATATAGTTCTCAGCGATTTTCATAATTTGCCTTAGTCTCATTCTGGATAGAGCGAAAAAATCCCATTCTAGCAGACTTCTTCCTCCAACATATATTACATCGAAAGACAACACCATCATGGTAGTCTGCATAAGGTCCACAAGTCATTTGATTACCACAATCACATGTAAAGGAACTTCTTATTCGTCCTATTTGTCGTAGTCGCCCAATTGTCATGTTTTCTCTAAAATCCGCTGTGAACCGATCGTACGTGAGCATCAGGTACTCAAATTGGCTTTGTGACTTTGAAATCCTTCATATGCTTCTGACCGGCTCGTCCATAAATTATAGCCTTGCCGTGTTTCAGTTTATTGTAATTTTTATCAAAAAAACAAGAAACTATAAACCCTAACTAATAACTTTATATCCATTAAATAAATCAGTGATCATTTAAACTCAAGGGTTAAAGAGATGGATGTTTGAAGTGTATGACATTGAATTCAGGTATTCATCTGCATATTAATATTGAAATAAAAGTACATCTGACTGACAAATCTCATGGTTAAGTGCTCGCGCGCGAAGCCAGTAGGTCCTGGGTTCGAATCCCGCGGGGGGCGGGTTCGTGGATGCGCACTGCTGAGGAGTCCCATACTAGGACGAAACGGCCGTCCAGTACTTCCAGGTTTTCAATGGTGGTCTAGCTTCAACTGACTCATGATTTCAACCTGTGAAATCTCATATAAAACAAAAGGGATATCTTAGATTCTAGTGCTAATTACATCTTATTTACAAAAATTACCTTACGATTAATATATACTTTAGCAATATAGACAAACAGATGGATAGATCCTTATCTGTAATGTTATAAATTCAGTTGGATCATTTTCACAGCATGAAAATTTCATTCAAAGATGTTCTGAAAACACATACATCATATCACTTCGTTTTCTCAAGTTTAATACATCCTTAAAAACATGTATAAGGTGTAGTTCTATTTTGATGGAGTTTTATTCTCCGATCTGGGTGGTTCGGTTGTGGAGCTTTCACCGTCCTTTTGAACAACATCATTATCACGAACTTCAGGTAGAAGTAAAGTCACTTCACTTTACTTGTATCAAGATACATAACAGTCACTGATGAGTTTTATGAAGTTTTCATTGTATATTCTCGAAAAAAAACTTCACTTTCAAATATATTAATTGAATTGATTGCATAAAACAATTAATGAATTTCTGAACAATATTTATTAATGTAAGCTGTTTTTGCAAAGCCGCTTACACTAACAAATATTATGTGCTCATAAATAAATAGCCTCGAGAAGTAATTCCCAGAGTTCTGTTGAGAAGCATTAATCAGAATAGGTCATTCATGTTCTATGTATAGTTGGAAACCACTAATGATATTTGTAAGATAGTTACACAATATCACAAATTAATTGGAGCTAGAAATGCAAAAAACACTTGAGGTGACTCAATGCTATAAGGCATGAAAGTATTTAGTTCAATCACTGGTGAAGCTGTAGATTCATACAGCTCAGTTATCGTTGATTATCAACAGTTGTCTAACTAAGCTCAATTCGTGATGTAAATCATAATGTCACTATTTTTTTTATCGTTCACTTTCTCTCTCTCTGTCTTGTCTCTACACCCTTTTTTTCTTCTCTCCAATTTATAGTCACTCAACTCGGTCAATCTTTCCAAATGTTGCAATCGTAATGGCTTATTAGCTTATCGTAATCCATTGATAGCTAGTCAAATTCTTCTTCATATTGCATTAAATCAAAAATAGAAACATTTAACAATAGATTTATACAAATACACATAGAGACAGGTAAAGAAGAAAAAGTTTAGTAAAGAATTGTGACACATTTCTTTCCTTTTTTTTCTTAAATCACAAATGGATCATTGTCCTTTTTATCCATAGAAACAGGAAGAAAAAAGAAAAAGAAGAAGAAGAAGAAGAAGAATATAAGTAACATATTTCATTTTTATCTCATTCCATGTAATAAACAATCATGTATCATTACACACAATGTAATTATGGATTGATTATGGATTATTATGTAATTCATTATTACCTTAGTCACAAACAGAATAAATTAACCAATTATTTATGATTAACTTAACTAAATGATGGTTAGCATTGTGTTTGCGAGTTAGTTTTCTATGAGATAGATTCACTAATCCCTATGTCCAATCCTTCTCTTTTACTTGGGATTGGGATCGGCAGTAACTTTAGAAAAGCTATAGGTAGAAATTATAAATGATGATAACTTATCAATAAATCATGATAGATGTTTAATAGAATGGATACAATTGATCATTATTCAATAAATAATAGATCAATAATTTATGAATATTCAATCAATAATTGTATACACATGAGGTTATTGTATTGATCGTTTATTATGCAGTTTTATTTTGTTCTTTATCATAATGAATTGATCATTATTTTTGTTGTTGTTATTGTTGTTGTTGTTTGTTACTTTATTTAATTTTTTGTTCAAATATGTTAAGTTTATTCATTGTTATCATGTAATAAACATAATGCACCAAGTATATGACTGTTGGGTTTTTTAGGTTCGAACCCTGTTTTCTGGTTATTATTTTCTAGTTTAAACAGTTGAATTACATCATTGTTTCTTATTACATAGAAACAATACTCATAGTTGAATGGATAGATTGCTAATTGGTAAGTGAATTACATTGGTCCACCAGGGTGTCTGGTACCTGTGTGGTTACGCCACAGGATTGAGCTGTACTATTCAGATTGTAGCGTTAAAGCCTATACGGTATTTGATTCTCCTGCTAAACGGATTAGGCTTTACTGTTTGAATTGTCACGTGAAAGTCCGGATGGTGTCTGGTTCTCCTGAAAACCAATGTAAAATTACCCTGGCCCACAAGGGTATATTATATAACTGAAGTGAATTACATAACAGGAATAGTAATAATAATAGTCGTATTGAGTTCATTATTTTATCACATTCCTTTCTTATATTTATAGTTTTAAAAAGGGATAAATGGATCATAATTGTTTGTTTGTGTAATGTATTTACAACAACATTTAACTTATTTATTTCTTATTCAATGAACTCGTGAGTTCAACTGTTAAAATACTACTATATTCACAAATCCCCATACTGTTAATAATCATGTGCTCAATAATGAATAGCTTCAAAATGAATTTCCTGGTGTTCTAATGAGAAGTCGTAACCAGTGGAGTCCAATCTGTGTCGAGTAGAGACTGTTATCCACGAGGTGTTGAGCAAGATCATAGATCGATTGAAATTAGACATTAACACCGTTGAATACTGACTCAGTGATCTACATATTAAGTGTTCACGTGCGAGACCAACGGTTCTAGGTGTGAGTTCCACATGTGGGATCATGGATGCGCACTACTGAGGGTTCCCCAAACTGGGACGAACCAGCCATTCAGTACTTCCAGATTTTCGATAGTGATCTAGTTCATCTTGATTCATGAATTCAACTGTTATTTGGTTACTTCTCAAAACCAGGAAGTGATGCAAACGTATCCCCTAACTACTATATAATGCTTCAGCAATCAGTATCTACTATCCTGCTGTGAATTGAACCCAAATCTTTTAAATATTATGCTAATTGTAATCCGATAAACGATCATTATGTCGTATTGTGAAATGACAAGAATTTGAAATGTGAACTGCTTGGTTCCATCTCAATAGTATAAAAATAATATGTTAACTGCCCACTGAGTTAAGTTTCTAGAATCGTTATGGGAGAGCACTCCCAAGATTTTACATACCAAGAGAAGATCATGTGTCCATTGCTCCTTGGTTTTCAGTTATATCCTAACTAATATCAGTCTACAAAGAATGCAGCTAATAAATCAAAATAATATACACAAACCCTTTAACCAAAATATTCTTCAAATAATATCTCATTGCATGCATTTAAATTCTCAATAAACAAAATACACGCTAAAGCATATAGAATTAATATCATATTCAGATTTAATAACATTGAATGCTCAATACAACTGCATAAAATTGCCTTTGGGAAGCGTTACAAAATAGCATACTAAAAGATAAAATGAACCAATAGCGTTTAAGATCCTTCCAAGTGGAAGATACGACATGAAGGTAAAAATGAGCGCTTTTGGCGCGAAAACAAGAAAATTCAAAATTTTGAGATAAAATTACAATATAAAGTATTACCAAGCGAGTTCTTGGGCTCTAACATCCCCAGCAAACACAATACAACACTTACAAAAGTTTAAACTCTTCACTTGATTTTATTATAACGAATATGACAGTGGTGACAATATGTTTTTTATCCAACTGTATCTGTAGTAGCATATCTATACATAACTCCGCCTGTAGCTCTTCTAGAGTTACTGCCGGTCTTAAGCCCATGTAAAGGAGTATGGTTGGGCATGAAATTAGCGACTTCATCTCGTAGAAAGCTAACTCACTAAAAAAACGCTAACCAGAAAAAATAATTCAAATCATCTAAACTCTACCCTGGGAGTTAGAACGTCTTCATTTAAAAGAGTTATGACGCCTCATGATGAAAGCCCAGTTCCTTCGGAAATCACGAGGCTGATGCCTCTTCTCACAATCAGAGCAACAATTATATATATGATGTTTATTTTGATAGATTTTTATCCGTAATTATCTAAACCGTTTCAATAGAAGAAGATTTAATGATTTACAAAAGGTTTTTACTTGTTGTTATTATTATTTGTAGTAGTTATACTCTCATTGAGGTCAAAACGTGGGTGTATAATTAGTCCTAGGTCACTGATATATAACATTAATAAATTGAAGCTTTCAGTTGAATGTAATCAATCAATAAATGAATGTTTATCAATGGATGATATATTTTGAAGGGAAAAATAAGGATATATTCATTTCTATTGAATGTATAATAAGTAATAATCATAGCAGAAATATTACTGAATAGAGTGAAACGAATATCTTGAATCCTACTACTAGCCATAATCTAAATATATTAAAACTTCGTAACTGAAGATAATATTGTAGCGGCAAATAAATCCCCGAAATAAATAGCTCTGTAAGTTTTCAACATTGGATGCTGATTACATTAGTTTTAATGGATTCACCTAGCTGAAGGTGCTCGGTCATACATCCGCACCAGATCACGAGTGGGAACGCAATACTCAACAAACCCTGCAATCGCTAGCCAGATGAGATTAGACGATCCTCGATATATTGATAGCCTATCAAATATATCTTCGAACTTCCTCGTTTCTGTTTTTTGATTTCACTTGGTGGGTGCGATTCATATTAAAAGGTGTTACTGGTTAAAGCGTTGTCAAACTCCGAATACCCGTAGCATCTTCAATATCAAGGCAATTACTCAGGATTTAAATACACTGACAAGAACTGATAAATTGCAATAATTTAATATTAATAACGGAAGAATCTAAACCGTTGAATGTCACCATTATAAAGCAATAGTCTTAGCCGCTTATACTGTCAAGTTTATTTAGAACATTAATTCGGTTATATTTTCGTCGTTTTGAAGCAAATTTATTATGATTGAATACGTCATTAATTAATTTGTATGTATTTTTAAACTACTATACTTTCAACAAGAATGATACTATTTTAATGATTATACATATCATTAAATGAACTTTGGTATTCATTCATTACATCATCATTTTAGAAAATAGTCTTATAGAACAATCATTGATTTGTTCATACACCGGATTGTTGAAAATTACTTACTTGCTCCTGTTACTCCTAATGAAGCATAGAAAGCCGACCAACGTTCCTCAAACCACTCTGTACTGAGCCTTACTTTCTAGTTCTATCCAATTGTTATTCATTCTTCTCATATCTATCTCCATTTCTCGATGTAATGTGTTCTTTAGTCTTGAAGAGTCCAAGTGAAGGCTTGACTTGTGACACAGTTGAGTGATTTCCTCAATGTGTCTCCTATCCAATTCCAGCACTTCTTCCTGATTTCTTCCTCCGCTTGCATCTGGTTTGTTCTCTCCCGTAGTAGGTTGTTGCTTATAGTGTCTGGTCAACAGATCCGAAGTATTTCGCGTAGACAACTGTTAGTAAACACTTTTATCTTCTGAATGATGGCTATCGTAGTTCTCCAAATTTCCACTCCATTTAGTAAAACTGTCTTGGAAATTTCATTGAAAATTCTAAGTTTGGAGTTGGTTGACAATTGTTTTTAGTTCCAGATGTTATTCACTTGCAGATATACTGTTCTTGCATTGCCGATCTTCGCCTTCACATCTGCATCAGATCCACCTTGCTGAAAATATTTCAGTTAAAAAAAACATGAAATAATATTAGTAAAACAAGTTGCCACAAAGCTGAATCAACTCTTTGATGTTCCTGCTGTTAATCATCAACCTACCAAATCTAACGAGAACTCAATTATGAATAGAATGATGGATATACTCAACTACCTTGTCCTGATGCTTATTACCACATCAAAATAGTAACGACGATAGAATAATATGAACCTTCCGTATGCTAAATAATGACTTTCAACATTAATGAACGGTAATGAAAAAGAATATTAATTTGCTCCAATTTAGTATAAATCGTATTAATTATCATTTATTACATTTGTAAATAAGCCACTATCCATAACATACAAGAGTTTATTAACAATTGTGTACATAAAATACTTCGGATCTGTTGACCAGACACTATCAGCAACAACCTACTACGGGAAAGAACAAACCAGATTGCAGTGGAGGAAGAAATTAGGAAGAAGTGCTGTGAGTGTATAGGACACACATTGAGGAAATCAC